ACATACACACACATACATACACACACATACACACACATACATACATACACACATACAGACACATGCACACGCACACACATACAATCATAAACTGCAACAAAAAAGTGCATTTTCTTAAATTTGGAGAAAACAAAAGGCATGTTTTTACATATCGCTCTTTTGAGGCTCCTTTTTCGATTTTTTGTTGGCAACATCATTGCCTTCTCGAGTTATGGCTCAATATTTCATGTTCTCTCCCTGTTAGGCTCATTTCTCTTTGTTAATCCATCCCATAAAGTCAGAAGCAGCCAAACATTCCTTTTCCTCCGAAATTTTATTTGTTTTTGAAAAGAAATGTTGAATTAAAGCCTGAGAAGAAAAATATTTCCTCTCATCAAAATTCTTTCAAAAACTATTTTCAATACTTTGTGAAATGGTAGTTATCGAAGTTACTACACATGATTCAAATTTTTTCAATTCAAAAATTTCAAAGTTAACCTCTAATGAAAGTTAGATGCGAAAATATTAATATTTCAAACAATATACATATTTTGAGGCAGCAAAGTTAATAAATTGCATTTCTTAGTTCAGTAATGTTTGATTTAAACTTTTTAATTTCTAAGAGCGATGAAATATCGCACCTTCAAATTACTATGCAATTGGACAATAATTTGTCAAGATAATGGTTGTTTTATTTGTCAAAATAAATAATATTTTTGTGATTATTGTAACTGCAATTATTTTCAAACTGCAATAGAAGAAATGAGATGAATTGAAATAATGATATAATGAAATAGGTAAACAAAGGAACCATTAGCCTTTTTAATTCCTCTTAATTATTTCTATTTCACAATGAATTCAAATTTTTTTAAACTATTTTTTTTGAATTTTCACTAAAAAATTAGAAAATAGTAACCATAAATTTGATTTACAATTGTTTCTTAAACACAAGTAAGTAATGATCAATTCATTGAAATTTTGTTGAATATATAAAAGCGCAATTTTTTTCAATTCACATGTCAGTTGGCATCTTCTCTGATATGTTGAACAATTTGTTAGTTAGTTTTCACGCTTCACGCACCATCTTCCCTCTCTTCTCTCCACCATCAGGCGGACAAATCTTGTTTACTTATTTTAGATGATTTAAATCACAAATGCCTTTAAACATATGATCCATTTCTAGCCTCCATATAAAAATGCTAATTTTACAAATTTTACTGCACATCAACAAATTTAAAACTAATTGCAACATTGCATTTCATTTTTTTCCATTTTTAAACGTTTTTATAAAAAATTAGATTTCATTCTCAAATCTTTGGTATAAATTCTTTGTTCTGTACTACAAAAAGTTTAAAATTATATAAAATATTGATTTATTCCGTTGATAAAATGATACATTCCATCATACATCGTCATGTTTTGCTATTCGCATTTGATCTAATTTAAATTTTGAAATACATATTTGTAGTTTCAGTGAAAAAAAAAATGGAAAAAACCGTGATTGGAATGAATTTTACTTGAGTGTGAGAAGATTTCCGCTTGTTCCAGTGTAAAATGGTTTGCTTTTGCTCCTGTAATCTAAGAATGTATGAGAATTAATTTTATACGATGTCGACAACTCCGATTGACGAAAAGAAATTGCTACCAGAGAAAAGGGTTCGTTCACGATCATTAAAACAAAGTTGCGCCAGTGAGGATTGCAACAGCACTGTAGTACCATTCATTTCACCAACAGTTGAGATTAATGCAGAAAAGCGTAAGGAATCAGTTCAATCTCGACCACTTATTCAAGCATCTAATCGAATACCACTAGCCAAAACATTGGCTCATAAAAAGTTGCGCAAATATGCCAGTGAAACATGCTTTTCATTGGAAGCTAAGAGTCCATCTGATTTGTCACCGAAAGAAAATGATCTGAAAACAGCTATTGGTAATAATAAAATATTTTCAATACAGCCTGTTAATATTACCAGAGGTGATACATCATTACTTCGGGATGGTAGTGTTCCGTCATGTTCTCAACACGTTAAACGTGAGGATTCGGAAGGTGAAGCAAGCGGTTCCGGAAGTGATGCAACTTTAGCCAGCATGACAATGACACCGATATTACAGCAAAAATCACGACGAACTCGTTTGAATCGACCAAAAAGTTCAACACTTATTTATGGAACATCAGTTTCATCCGATGCTTACAATACTCCAACATCGGCTACACTACCATCCATCGATTCGTTGCAACAAATCGGACTTGGAATGATCGGAAGTATGGAAGAACGTCGGGGCAGTAGTTTTTACAACATTGACGATGACAGTTTGCATGAATTCGACGATGAGAAAGGTGATAATTTATTTCATAAATTATTCAATATTTCCTAATTTGAAAAATTCGGTTGAGGATTAAACTAAAATGATTCATTTTCTCATTTCTTAATGTTTTATTTTCCGCTTCTCTATCATTTTTTTAAAATTTCAATATTTGGGTAATTGAATCACCAATTATTTCGCATATAAAATTTAAGAAATTTAAGAAAATTTTGTGCTAAATTAACAATATCTCAAACTTTGATGTGTAGAAGTTGAAACCAATCTCTTTAAATGATATACTTCATTTGCTGCTTAAAAATTATTTATATGCTTAAAAAAATTATTTAAAATAATTTTTATGTAATTACATGCAGTTTTTAGAAAGCGAATATATTTAATAATTCGTAAAGCATATAATTTCTTTATTTCTATTAAATACATATTTTGTTGTTAATTATTTCACTGATTTATGAATCGTCATATTTAGCGGATAGCGAATAGAAAATTTACTAGAAAAATCTTTTTATTAAAAGCAATTACACACACAAAAATCTTCATCGATGAGAAATGCATAGAGGTTGCATCTGCTCGCATTTTGAAATTGAACTCAAAAATGGCCAGAACGTAGAAGTCAACGTGACTGACAATTTGCTCTCTGTCTGCAAAACATCTAAAAGAAAAATTTCTCACGATATTTTAAGTACGTCAACAAGGAATAGAAGAGATTATTTCGAGAATCCAGTGTATGGGTTTACATGTTTGTTATCAAAACAAGATAAATTAAAATTCAATGACTCTATAAACATGTCGCTAATCAATACGTGACTTTCTGGTCTAAATTTTTAATTTTTCAAATTTATTTTTCATCAAATTCAAAAATTCAGAAATTTTTTTTGACATTTGCACAAGCTTTTTTAACCTTTAACTGCATTAAAAAGACTGGAAATTGATTGAAAAACACATTGTTGACAGATTTTAAAATATCCAAAGAAAAACAACAATAAAATATGGCAAATAATTTTTATGAGGAAATCTTTGATGCAAACAAAAGTTTTGTTTTAAAGTCGAAGAAGAATAAAAAGATAAATAGATGGGGAGAGAGAGAAAAGAAAGGAAGAGAAAGTTTATGATTTAAATGTAGCTTTCCTTATAAAGTATCCCATTGGTTATACCCACAAATTATTAAACAATTATAAAAAGCATTCATTACCTTTCAATCTTGAATTAAAAATAACATGCCACTGCTAACTGCATTTACTGGCGGTAACTTTTTCAAACTTAATCAGATCAGTGGTAATTATTGAAAAACATACGAATAAAACTTTAACTCTGAATCTAAATAAAAAATTTAAGGATTCAACTCACATCAAAAGTATGAGATTTTGTTAATGAGCTTCCACTCCTTATTATGTCAAAAAAAGACAACTTGCTATTACGTTTAGTGACTAATTATCATTACTCCAAACTTGATCTTATTGAGTTTTAAAGTTCTCTAAAATTCAAAAGTTTCGAAAATTAAAATTGCTTTTTAATCAAATACTCGAAGTCTTTCATCTTTTATTCCCAAGTCGCTTATCCAAAGTTAATACAAATGATAAAGAAATGGCTTGGTTATTGCCAAGTTACTTATCATAATGTTCAATTTCAAAAAATCATAGTGGCTTAAGTTATTTGTTGTTTCAATTATTTTAATTGCTTAAATCAAAATTCACTGTGCTTGAATTTATCAAATTTTATCCTTTCAAAACAAACTGAAGCATCTATGTATTATTTATTTTACCATTTTTATAATTAATAGCTTAAAGTTGTTTAGTGCCATAAAAATTATCCATCGGGAGTACTTAGAGTTAAAATAATTTATCTTGAAATATCAGATCTCATTTCGGGGGCATCAAAGTTCCCAGAGATAGAAGCGCTAATCATGCAAAATTTGGCATTAATTTATGGCTTACATATAAAGTTATTAATGGACGAATTTTTTTTCAGTACTAAAAATTCTGAATAATTAATATTATTATCTGAAATATGTTCAGTGTTTCTGAACATATTTCAGATAATATTGTTCAGTGTTTCTGAACATATTTCAGATAATATTGTTCAGTGTTTCTGCATTTTTCTCATCATTTCAATCTATTGCAGACAATTATAATTAGTTGCAATTATCAATTACAGATACATTCGTTCCTTTAAAGATAAAGATATGATAATATATGATAATAAAGCATATTTAATAAAAGTATATGAGCGAAAGACTTCATTTTGTATCATTATGGAATAAGTACTGCTAAATTTTAAATCTCCCTTGGAATGAATTTTGAAAAATTAAAAAGTAACGTTGCAGTAACTTTAGCTTAATTTCAAAAAAAAGTCTGCCAACCACTCAATCATCTTTGAAACAAATTTGATTTTTTAATCTTAATGAAGCATTCTTGTTTCTTAAAATCATAATTTTAATTTTTCTCCGTTGGCTTAACTTATAATTGTCTTTTAAAATTCTTTTTCTCTATAAATAAAAAAATGAGGAGTGAGAAGATATATATGCTAATTTTCTGCACCATTTCAAAATTATAGCGGATATTTTGGTAAACTAAAAGAACTGATAATCTTTTATTAAAGTCACGTACTTTGTTCAGAATTCTCTTCATCACCTTTCTTATCTTCTATAATCTATTATTTGTAAACTATTCGGTGAAATCATATAATTACTTAACGAGATGATAAAAAGAGAAGAATTTCAATTAAGAATTTGATAAATGATACAATGAACATAAGTATTCAGAGTTTGATACCATACTGATTTGTCCATTTTTTCAGATGAATTAAAGTGTTCATTTGGCTATAAATTAAAACTTTGCTCTTGCTTTTTGTAATGCTAAAACGCTGTGCTTAGCATCCGTTTCCGTCTATCCTCTCATTTTCATTTTATATCTCACATCTGATTCATGCTTTCCAACGATTTTATATCAAGCATTAATCACAATATAAAACTGTATCGCATTCATCAAGCGATAATCAATAGTTTTAATAATTTGCTCAATAATAATTTCAAAAAAAAAGTCTAACATTTCATTTCCCAAGTTCATTAAATGTTTCCTAAGTTTATTAAAGTTCATTTAAAAAATCGTTTCCTAAGTTCATTAAAATTAATTACATTTTACATTCAGTATGCTTTAAATCAGTTTAAACTAATAATTAGAAATTCAAAAAAACTGATCAAATTCAACTTGAAATTAGTTTGAATTACTAGAAATCTTAAATTAGATTTAAAGAGAGATGCAGTAATGATGCACAGGGCAAAAAAAAATAAGTGAAATTTGAAAAAGTATTATTATTCTAAAGAGCACTTCAAATTGTTGCACCTATTTATTCCTCGAAGAAATTTCGAAACTTATTCGCACTTACTTAATATCTATATGTGATTGCCACCTAATCTCTTCGTTATTTTATTATTCATTTTTAAATTTATTATCATTCACATTATCAGCAATAATAGGATTAACACTTTCTTTATCAGGTTTTGTTGAGGAATGATAGAAAATTGCTAAAAAAAGTTAAATTTAATTAAAATAGTATAAATCAAAATGAGTCAATTATCGGATATATCATACCCTAAATGCCTAAATGCCGAATGCACTAATTGATAAAAGTCTTATTTGCCATTGTCTTAAGAACTTAAATAATTTCACTTCCCGGAAAATAAGTTTCTGATAAATCTCACTCTGATTGCTATCTTCATAATGCGCATTTGCTCATTTCCAAATTATGTTGATGCAAAATTTGAAGCCATATCTGATAACAGTGTACTGAAATACTGAAATAATAGAATGTGAATGAAGAGATTTGAGCGCACACGCATGCAGTATCATAGCATATTTATATTACTTTCTCGTCACTTTATCATCTATTTATGCTTCTCATTTTAACGCATATTTGTAACATTTCGTCGAATCCATCATATTCAAAAATAGTTTGCTTTTTTAAATAATCTTTCATCTCAAATAAATTATTCTTTTCATCGCTCTTTTCACATTACAATTCAACACTTTGCATCAAAGGCTATCAAGCATGTTGACAGTATTTTGTGACTAATCTTATAAACAATATCCTCTATAGAACACTGATTAAGAGAGGAGAAGCGATGAATACTAATGAAGGATTATGTGAGAAAGAATTTTGTTCGAATTTTTAAGACCTTTCTATTCAATGAATTTTCCGCTCACTTTGGAAAGACTCGAAAGATTTCTGAAATTTATAGAAGTCTTTTTTTTTCTTTAATGCTTTTTTGAATGAATCAGCTTGTCTTTACCATTGACATGATCATAATTCACTGATTAATGATATTTCCAGAAAGCTAAATAAATGCTGGTGGAAAGTTTCCTTTCACACTTTTTCTTATTGTGCTTTGCTGAAACTCAAATATTAAAAAATATCCAAATAGAATATCTATTCAAAAAAAACGCTATAGTTGCTGATAAAAGATTTAAATTATTATGTTCAAGTTTTTTTCTGATCAATAATTGAATGAAATGAACGGATTAACTATTACTACTTTCGATCATTACTACTTTTACAAAAAAATTTATTTTTCACAAGAGTCTTTGCTTTGTTAAGCAAACTTATTTCTTTTCAAATTCCTACTGTTGCTACCAATGGACAAATATTTCCTATAATTTTAACCATTTTTCAAGTTACTTTTGGAATGTCCTCAGATAGTAAATCTTATGCAAAACTTTCTGTTTTGGAATAGATGATTAAATTTAATGTTAACTTAAATTTACATTCTCCTGATTTTGACTTTGATCGCAATTGATTAAGCTTACATATCGGTGTAATAATTGCGCTTTTGCGCACTTCTTCACTTATGTAAATTAGGTTTCATATTCATTCCCGCATTAGCCATGAAGTTATGTCTAGCTTATTCCTTAACATTGTAAATGTTTTAATTGACTTGCTTAGTGGCTAACGGTGCCTTTTTTTGAAGAAACAATTCGTTAGTTAAAGAGATTTCAACTGATTCAGAGAAGATGCTGCAACATATTATCATTCTTTTCTATTCTTCAAGCATAACGCCATTGTCTACATGTGTGTTCAGTGATGCATGACTTTGTTGAAATGTCGAACAAAATTTTTTCATTGAAAAATTGAATTGCCAAAGCCGGATCACTTATCCCCTTTAACAATGGTGTCTGATTTATCCACTGAGCTTTGAGTACTTTCTATTTCAAAAACATACACCCTTCTTTCACATTTCAACTTCCTTTCTTTCACTGATGCATCACATATGCACACACATACATACACATATATGTGATAGCCCAAAAATACTGATATTTTTTTGAGCTTTCACGTAACCAATATCATTTCATCGACTTTGAACTTTGAATCAGATTCTGAAAAATTTGCATCGATATCGAGATTGACTAAAGAATGATATGCCCCCAACCACTTATCACCACAGCTCTATCACATCATTTTAATGTCCTTTTTCATTAATCATGCGAAAATTTTTTTCAGTTTTTTTAATTAGCAAATTTTATGTCAGCTTCAGTTCTTTTAATAGTAATTCCTTTGCAGAATGTCTAATCTGTCACTTACAAGAATAAAGGAAAAAATCTATGCTGCAAAATAATACAGCATTATTTACACTTCCAAAGGAAGTTAGTCTATCAGTTACAAAATCTTTCAATCAATTTGTCAATTAGGTTTTAGATGATGTAAATCTAACGGCATAAATATGTCGGGAAATTTTTTTGTATTTGCATCAATCATTCTTCTTGGCATTTTAGCAAATGTTCAAATTTATTTAGCTTTATTTAAATTTTTTCACACATAGGCTTACATAAAAAGCTGAGATAAATATTTCTAGAAATGAATTAAATTTCGTGCTCTTTTTATGCCGACCACATATCGTCATTTAAAGGTCATACCTAATCTGTCGTACCGATCTGTCTAATCAAAAGTAGTACATGTGCAGTAAATGATTTTATAATCGATGAAAATAACAATTTAAGACAATAAAAGTACTATGAAATACTTCAACTAAAGCTTTTACAGAATTTCAAATCCAAATAGGATAACTACTGAACATAGTGGATTTTTTCTGTAAAAATTTTAATTGATTATGATTTGAGCTTATTGAACAGTCATTTTTATTCATTTGAAATTATTTCTGCTATTTCACCCAATTATCTTACGTATCATTTAACTAATCGATGCATATTTATTTATGAAAAGTCATCATTTGTAAAAATTATAAATTTTATTTTAAATTTTGGAATATTCCTGAAGAAATTTATATTATTAAATTGAGAAAGATTGGAATACGCTTCTCTTAGTCAGTCCTGATTAAAACTTATGTTCTAAGAAATATTCTGAAAAGTTTTTATTATTTTTGGTTGAAAAACCGCACTAAGCTTGAAGAAGCTTGAATAATGACCGAACATAGGAAATAAGTAATTTTGCAAATGAAAATTATAAATTAATGAAAGAGGAATTTATAATAGGTAAAATTTGATGAAGTGCATAGTAATTGATGATGAGAAATAAATTTTCATATAGGTAAAAGATTTTAATACAGGTAAGCATTACAATAACAAAATTATTTTTTTCTACTGAAATAGATTAACAATCATTATTGTTTCGTTAGTGTTAACAAACGATTGAGATTTTGGATCACTTCCTTTGAAATATTAATTTCTTTCTTTAGTTTTCAAAAATAAAACCTCAAATATGTATGAAAAAAATAATTTTGTTATTGTAATATTTTTTTTATCTGTATTAAAATGCATTTGTGCTATTGCGGAAGTAACAATTTGAAAAACAAATAAATAATTTCATTTCCATATTGTACTCGTAAAAAATAACACAATTATTGATTATTACATTTTTTCAAAAAAAATTGTGTATTTTATTGACGTAAGAGTGTCAAAAAAAAAATTTTATTCTTTTGAAAGTACATACCAATAAATCCTTTCTTTTTTTTCTTTTAATGAAAAGATTTTCATAGAAACTGTATCACAAGAATTGAATTACAACAGTGAATTTCTCTTTTGACATTTTATAGCACACATTTTTCAAAATTATTTGCTCTTTCAGTCTTTTTAAGCTTCTGAAATATTTATGATTGAGTATGAAAGAATATCTTCAAATCAAGATAAATTGTTTTTTTTCATCGAAGAACCTATTTTATTTCCACAACTATTTATTTTTATTAAAGTAATTCAACTGTTAAAATGGATTTTATCTTATCAGTGCAAATCAATCCTAAAATATTAACATCCTTTGATTAGTCATTAACACTAATAATGAATAAAAATGAAAAGATATTTAGATATATGTTTAAAATATTTTGAAATGGATATGTTTATATAATATGCTAATATCTTTAAGATTGTTAGATGAATTAATTATTAAAATGGAATATTAATTTTTATTAATCAGACTTATCAACTGATTATCCATCTTTTGCTCCATTATCTTTGTTATTGCATTTCGTGCTATTCTCTTTGTTATTAGATTTCGTGCTAATTCACATCAAATTGTAAATGAATAAATCTTCTTCTGAACTCTTAAAATTTGATGAAAGAAAATAGAAAGACCCGTGGTTGTAACAACCATAGGCCTTTCATGTTTTTCCAGCTCTGAAGTGGTAATGATTTGAAAGAACAGTTGAATGGGAGGCGGGTTGTATGAGCTTCTTCTTCTTCTTCTTCCCATATTCAATCACGAATAATTATTCGTCAGATCAGTCGTGCATGCTTGCTGTGTGAGTCCAAGGCTGGTAGGTGAGCCTGTCTTCAAGCATAGCTATTCGAGGACTAATATTAAAGGAAGTGTATCGAGTTTGTTAAACAGTCCTTCGTTTCTCCTTGTCCATTTGCTTTTCATAGGCCTCTGCGTTAAGCTTCTCTTTGTTTTTCTATTCCATTTGTTTAGTTGTTTGTTACTTGCTTCACTCTCTGTTAGGTTTTTCTCGAAGAGAGAAAGAAAAGAAGTGAATATTATTCTTTTCTTTTCCCTATTTGACAACCGAATTAACTCCGCTAATTTTACTGCCGTTGTCCAATTTTTTTTTTGTTGATTTGCGCTTCTCTGTCCATTACCGGATATAAGCACAACAAAATGATGTTAATATATTATTGTTCCTGTTATCGAACAATTACCGGAATCCATCCAGAGTTGCTTTTTTCTTTCTTGACAACAATTGGAATGAAACAAATTTACTAATGCGAAAGTTAATCCCTTCTTGGAATAAATGTGCTGATGCTAAGCTATTCCATCCATATTTATTGTATTGCTACAATCCATCTCTAATTGATCATCGTTTTCAATTTTACATATTATTATTTATTGGAAATCTATCTGGTAAGAAAAAAACAATATTTTTTATTATTTCTAAAAATGAAAAATATCACTACAACGGATTTTCAACTTCCGGGAAGTTCAAACTTGAAAGAACAAACAGAGTACGAATCGGAAGAATATTGTTCTGGAAATCAAGAAAAAAGTGCCATCTCGGAGAAAATTATCTTTCCATCATCTATTTCCAAGATTGAGAATAGCAGTCCGAAAATAAATGAATTTGAGATGAACATGGAACGCTTATCAGTCAAGCATACTTCACATACATTGCTTCATGTGCCGGATCATCGTCGAATTTCGGTCATATCGGGAAATTCCACAGCTTCATGTCCACCAATATCACAAAATGAAAGTGTACTTCATATCAGTTCAATGACACGTCTTGCATCTTTGCTACCACCTTCACTTATTGATGGCCGTAAACGGTCGATTCATACCGGCGCTCCAGCAATCGGTTTTACTGACCAGAAATTATTCCGGAGGCGTGGTTCTCAATCAGCATTCGTTTTGAAACGTTATACCATTGAAAATGAACCATTGGTAGAACCATTTTCATCACGTCGTATCAAAGACGACGTAAAAATAATGACAGAAGGAAGCGGGCTGATACAACAGACAGCACTTCTCGAATACAGTATCTCGGAACCACCATTATCACAAAGTCCTACCAAACGAGTGAACTGGTTATCCATAAAGAATTTTCATGAGAATGAATTACGACCATCTAATAGAACAACAATGATGAGTAAATGTAATCGTCGGCAATCAACGATGTTTGATTTAGGCAATGAAATATTGAGTAACAGGAATGGTTCTCGAATGAATAATCAATTTTGTTCAATATCACAACTTGATCATAACAATTTATTGGATAAAGAGACCGATACATCACCTCTTGATACTCTTAGTTGGAGTAATGCAGGTTCGTATTCTCCATTACTTTATCCTTTATCTTAACTAATTCATCATTGAAGCCTTCAAATTTAGTTATCTAATTAAAGGATCTTCATAGGATTCTGGATGTTGCTCGATTCATGCTAGCATTTTTCAATAATATAAGATTAAAAAAAAATTTTCTTTGCTTTAAATCAATAAGAAGCAAAAAAAGCCTAAAAACTTTCTGCTACAGCAGATTTTTTCATTTTTCAGTCCTTCATATCAAACTACATCCTTTCTATAGATTTTGCAAATCGGTATGCTAAGTAATTTAAGCTCTAAAGATTTGAAACATTTGCATGCAAAAAAATCGTTTATAGCTTTATTGACTTTTCAATTGCTAAATTATAAGAGTGAAGTAAAAAGTGCTACCGATGATATATATTTTCATCAATCTAAATTTGTTGAATAACTTCATCATTTTCATTTTCACTTCAGAATTTTTTTTTAAATCAATAAACATAATTTTTGATCGTATGCTTTCACTGCTACAATTTTTTTCGGAGGGCTTTGTAAAGAAAACATTTCTGAAAATGGAATAATGACAGAATATACACATATCTGTTTGAATAGCAGCAATCTGGCTTTCATCAGAATCCTTTCAGCAACTCACTAGCAGCTGTCGTTCAAATATCTCATTAATAAATTAGCACGCTAAATTATTTTCTACTTTTTTTATCATTATTTTTTGCTTCTTTATATTACAGCACAAAGTGATATGATGAAATATTCTAAAGAATTGCTTGCTAAATTATTTCAAATATTCAAATAGACAGGTATTCCAAAAATTATGAAAGTAAATGAATGAAATGCTTGAATGGATAAATTATATAGTAATGAACCATTTCTGATAAATATGAATAATGTAAAGAAGATTATAATTAATTTGCTTTTATTAGATCACTAAAATTCATTCTTTCAATTGATATGCAATTTGAAATGACACTCAATTTTATTTCCTTAGAAATAAATTAATTTGTATTTGAACAAGTTTGGAAATTATTGTATAAATCACGGTTAAGTTCAGAAAAAATCTTGATGTCTTAGTGGTCAAGTTTTAGAATTTGTAGATTTTAAAGCTCGGCTTAAAAATCTAATTTTTTTAATCAGGAAATTGAAATTTATAGTAATTTTTTAAGTGCTATAATAACAAGTTTTACTGCTACTTTTTGATTGTAATTTATTAAATGACAGATTGCGTACTTTATCAGATATTTACAAGAATTTGCATCTTTTTCTCCTCAATTGATAATATTATTAACAATGAAAGAAAACTTTGCCTGCAGCATAATTCCGTATTTTCAACTATGGATATAGTAACCACTCTTTTCTACAATAGCGGTTAGTTCTATGGCAATGATATATAAACATTGATAAAGTTGGAGGATGCACGAATATGTAGAATATCAAATGAATTCGATTATTACATTTAGTAATTTAAAAATCAAAATTGCAAATTCAGTGATAAATAGCATAAATAGCTGATATATTTGATTGGTTTCATAAGATTTTATCACAGATATGTAGATAATTACTCTTAACTTTCATCACAAATGGAAGCTCAGAAAGGAAGACTTAAGTTGAATCAGTTGGAAAATTTTAACTTGGACAATTGTTTAATTTTTGAACTCTCTATTAAATCATTTGGATTTTATTTTAGTTTATTTGGAATTTTTTTGCAAAACATTTTCAAATGAATGCATTTCAGATGAATACGATAATGTAACACTGATGTACGCGAAGCACGAGAAAATCCCAATGAAGGATTTTGGATCAGAGATTCGGGCGACGATGGACATCGATCATTTGCTCAATAAATCAGTTCTTCTCCTGGATTTGCAAGAAACTTCCCTAGAGGAAATTTTTGCAAAGTATGTGCGAGTAAAATAATTTTTTTATTTAAAGGATTTCAAATTGATGATTCCGACTCGATGAAATTTCTCCCTTTTATACCGTGGTAAATGCATTGCAATAAAGATATCTTTGCGAGTATTATTTCCTCAAAATCTCAGTGACATATAACATTCAGAATTATTGATATTATTCTTGTCTTTGGAAGACTAACGCTCCATTTTGAAAAATTCATCAAATTTGATTCTATAATTCAGCTGTTTGACGGATAACATCAATGCCTTAAATTATAAATTTCATCTTTAGAAGATGATATCTAAAAATTTTGCAACATTTTAGCTTCCATTTATACCCTGTGGTAGAAATAATGTGATAAATTTGATCAGCTATGACAGCATCATATAATCATTACCTTCTCTATTTTTAGAATAATTCATGAAATGGACATTCAGGAACCAGAATTTACCAGTGAGCAAGTTCGATCGGTCCTTTTCACGCAAGATTCTGGAAATCAATGTAAGTCTTTTTTCTTTGTCATTCCAGAATTTTTGCATTAGCAAAAAATTTTTTAATTCTGTTGTAATGTTATATTATGTAAATTTTGTCATTATTTTGTTTAAATAAGTGCATTAATTATAGTTCATATATTGAGCCGAACAGTACAAAGTATCTGCACAACAGGTACAGTTGGTGGTACATTTGATTACGATCAATCTTGGATTTGTGCCCTGTAAGAGTTACAATTTTGCAAGTTTTTTAGTTTTTACATTTGATTATTTATCTGTTACACAAAGTAATTTTAAAATTGTATTGGCTAGGATTTAGGCGTCTTTCTCGCTGTCGGGGTACATTCACTATGACATTCAAGATTTTAGCAAGCATAGTGCACGAAGGTTTCATAAAAACTTTTTATCAGCCAACGGACTGATAGATGAATGCTATCGCCTCATGTGTGAATAAGGCATATAAGGTTCTGACAAACCGGATGATTATGACCCAACCTTTGATAAAAGGCTATTGCCTCAATTGTTATATACGGAGATACGATGAAATTGCTGAATTCATTCTTCAAATAATTGTCTAATCAGTGCCAATCTTTTCTGATGTTATCGAGATCGGAACAAAAAAAATGTTATGTTTTGTAATTCAAAGAAGAGAGAGCTTTTTGTTTTGTTTCGTTGGTTTGTTTGGATGTTTGTATATATGTCATCTGATCTAATGTTCATCTCAATTTTTTCTTTTGTCTCATTTATGTTGCTGATTAAACTGCGGCATATTAATAGAAGGCGAAAAAAAGACTTTTTATTATCATTAAATGCGCTTCAGAAAATAACAGTTTTGAGAACTTCACTTCTTATATTTTTATTGAAATGACAATGAACTTTTTTAAATGAGAAAGAGAATCAAGCATACTGTAGAAATCTAAAATTAGCATTAAACTCAATGTCTTATTTAACTTCACAATATGTAACTAAAAATGGATTTTATCAAAAATGGAAATATTTGCAAATTTGCAGGTGTATGTTGAACACAGTGCAACATAGGCATGTAGCAATTGCTCGACTCAGTCATCCAACCAATTTAGGACGTACAATGCAGGACTTGCGGTTTATCATCATTGTTATTGCACCTTCACGAGCGGTACGGTACCATTTCATTTTTTTTTCTTATCATATCATTTGATGTTAGCATCTGGAAGAGAAATAATTGAATTTTATTATTTATTTCAATTTTCATTTCAATATCTAAACACTCAATAAAAGATAGAACGAAGTTCAGTTTTCGTATAAATTCTTTTGTAAAAAAAGATTAACAATAATGAGACTTTAAAAAATTTTTCATTTCTCATTTGATTTTATTAAATGTGAAAAAATGAACGAATTTCGAATACTTTTTCTAAACGATTCATTAGCGCATTTGGAGAAAATTGTTTATGTGTTGAATTCCCTAAAGTTTGTTGAACATAAAATTTTTTTAATGCTTTTTTGTACGCACATCTTTGCATGCAATTTTTTACTCGTAATTTAAAATATTTATAATTATTGAACTAATTATGCATATTTTAGAAAGGCACCAAAACGGCGCTTGAAACGACGCGAACGTTTGCAACACTTTTTGCAGATATGGATATCAGACAGCGACTTGTTATGGCACAAAGTGTAGATCAGTTTAGGTAAATATTAATTTCGCAGTGTAGGCAAATAATGAATTTTTAATAAGCAGAGATTAAATTTCTCGACACAAAATAAAACGAAATTTTAAAATTCCACATTATAAAAATTTAAAAATTCGAAATTATTAGCTACGCTTTGTTCATTTAATATTAGTAGTGACAAAAAATATTGACTTATTGACTACCGTTTCTTAAAAGGTATGCAAAAATGTTCAATTCAAAATAAGTACCGAATTTGGCCATAAAATTCCATATGTGAAGCCCATTTAAGTATTATGAACATATCTCTATATCAAGTAGTACTTAACTAAATAAATATCTGTGCCTACAATTTAAGTGTTAGTTATTTCTACTAATGTCCCATATAGAAATATCAACCTTTCATCTTTTAATTCTCGTTTAGCGTCAATCTTTGGAATGCATAGTTTAATGTTGTTACTTTCTCAGATCCACATTGCTATCAGCAGCGAAAGAATTAGCAGTGGATCAGAATCAATGGAGAGAACGAAAAACATCAATTCATTTCAGTCAAGCTAAGGAACAATTGGTAAGTTCAATTTTGTCTCTGTAAATTATTCCATTTATTTACTCATCAAAGTTGACTTTTGATTTTCAATAATGATTTGATTGATCTTTCTTATCTTTTCATTTGCAACTATACATTTCAATTCAGTGTGGGAAAAAATGCTTAATTGTGAATTAATAAGGAATAGAGAAGAAAGAATTGAACTATGACTATTACGAGTTATATTTCAATTCTTTATTCAATTATCAGTTTCATGTTATTCAATATGTTTTTTTGGTGAATTTGTGTTGAAAAAGGTTGAAATCTTTTTTAAGAATCATCCAATGATATCCTTATACTTTAGTTTGGTCCTGGAAAATGGTATCTATTTCGTGGACTGAGTAATGATTTCCTTCGACGTATCAAATACTACTCTTCTGACTACCTGGATGGTTAGTCAGTTCATTTCACGAATATTTACCTCACTTCTCTCTGTTTTTATTTTCTACACGAGGAGTTGAACTTAATTAATTTAATTAATATTTCCTTTAGGATTGCGTGGCTCGAAAACAATCCAAAAATTGTTCAGCTCGATAGTATTCCTATACTTTGCTTGTCTTTTGCCAGCAATTGCTTTTGGTGTTTTGAATGATGATAATACAAATGGAAGTATCAGTAAGTTTCCTTTTTTTATTTGCCTTTAATGTCTGCTTTCTTGAAGATGAAAGATGAAAGTAATAAAAGTAATTTTGAAAGATAGAAGTAATCTGATTAATCTTTTTGAATCCATTTCTCATCAAATTTTTATGCTCAAAAACAGTTATACGTCTATTTTTTAAAAAAATACGCTTTTTTATTCCAGCGTATTTTCTATTAATCAGATGAATATTCAGCAAATTACTTTTTTATGATTATCAAACTTAACAGATATACGCCAAGGTATATTACAGAGTTGCTTCACTTAAATTTCAATGTTTTGATTAATTACTTTTTGAGATGTACGTAAAGTAATTACTGCTCAAGCACTTGGTGGGATATTTTTTGCAATATTTGGTGGCCAACCGATGATTATATTGCTAACCACAGTACCATTAGCAATATATATTAAAGGTATGTCACTCTATGCATTAAAAAAAAAGTTATTTAGGCTAATATTTAATGCATACATTTTAAAGAATGATTTAAGGTTAGGCATTTTAAATAGCTAATGCTATGTTCAGCATTTTGAATAACTAGTACTATTATTAATTCCAATATTTCGTGATAATTATGTTCATGAATAAGGTATTTTTCTTTTGAAATATATAGTTGAAGTTTTAGTGATATATAAAATAGCAGAAGAACTCGGTTATGATTTCTTTGCAATGTATGCTTGTGTTGGATTATGGTGTCAACTTTTTCTCATCCTTTATGCATCCACTGATATGTGCAGCTTAATGAAGTTAGCTACAAGGTTCATTTTTATCGATTCAAAAAATTTTACAATTCAAAAAAATCAAAATCAAATCAAAACCTAAAATTTGTATGATAAATCTATATTGATTAATAATAGAATTAAATCATTCATTGTGTATAATGCAATCAATTTCAATTGGTTATATTGGTTTTTTTCCTTAAGGGTTATCAGATTTTATGTGCAAATGAAAATTTAAAATTTTTATTCTCTCCAGAGTAAAATGAAATTAATTCACTCCAAGTTCACTCAAAACGATTACATTTTATATTCAGTCATTATTGGTATAAATTATTTTTCAGATCTGCTGAAGAAATGTTTTCGCTGTTTATTGCGATAGCTTTTACTGTGGAAAGTATACGGGCGCTGCATACAAGTCAGCTAATCACTTTTCCTTTCATTTTTTCCTTAAACTAAAAGCTGAAATTTTTCTCGAAATTATTTCAAAATTGTACAAAATTTTATCAATCTTTATAAAAAGTCATGTAGAGAAAGATTTGTAGAAATTAAATAATTTATATGACTGTTATGGAAACATGAGATGAAATTTAACTATGAAATATGACAAATCTCTGTTAATCTTCATTCAGCCGCTGATCGATGATATATCTATCATAGTCTGTTGCGATTAATTTCAAAATGAAAAACTTCGCATAACACAAATTCCATCAAAATTTAAAGCTGGCAAAAATATGAGCAACTTATCAACAGCATAATATTGCTTGTATTAGCTTGCCAATAATAAAAATAAATGAGCAGAAGCTATTGAAAGAGTGCTAGAAGGGTCATGCAAAATGACGAAACCTAATGAATGTTTTCAATACAACCACGAAAAAGCTAATTGACATCGTCCTCGATATCTGTGTACTCTCGAGAGCAATTTATCCCTTAAAGAAATGAGGCAATTGGGAAGCAGTAGTAATTAAAGCAAATATTAAGCATAACGGTTCAGATGAGTTGTTATCTCTTATCAGTAGATTCACACTCTGGAAAAAACAACTTAGAATTGATAATAAATGACTTTAACAAAATATCACTATAAAAAACTTTGAATTCAGCAAATATAGAACTGATGGAATTTCTAAATTTGTACAATAAGAACATAAATAACCTCAGTGTAAGATTTCTTCAGTTTTTAGCAGCCTTTATCTTCCAGAGGATATTTTTTTCAAAATCTCTGTTTGGGAGTTATATGGAAGAATTAAATTTCAGGTTTCAAGAAAAACTATCACAACTGTTATAGCACCAATATTCGAAAAAAGGAAAGTGTTGACGGCGATGTATTGCCTTCTTTTCGCTTAAATTCGACGCCACTCTCCTCTGTTGTTGATATTGTGGAAACGAGTGCGCCATTACAGGTACTCATTTCTGAAACAATTCAATGCTTTAATATTAAAAGAGATTTAGATGAACGATGTTAGCCAAAATCTCCTTTCCATCAAAATTGAAGTTTCATCTGATAAGCAGTTTGCAATGCTTTAATATAATATATTTAATATAACTTGTCGATTTCTGTTTCTTTTCTTTTAGATATACGATACACTTTGCCATCGAGACACTTCAATTTTATATATGCTCCTTATGTTTGGTACATTGTGGCTTGGTCTTTTTTTATATAATTTTAGGTATTAAGTTGAATTTTCCCTTCTTTCCTATTTATACTTCTTTCTCACAACATTAACTTCTATTCAATTTTATTCTTACTCATTTGAATGCATTTTCGGGTGCAGTAAGAGGATATCACTGATTATATATGATTAATAACTATCTCTGAAGATTATTACAAGCGTTACCGTTAATTTAATGAATAAGTAAAAAATGCTAATTTATGCACCTGTAACTTTAACGCTAACGCTTACCAATAGAATAGCTTTTCAGGAAGACGCCTTATTTGACGCGGTCACGTCGTGAATGGCTAGCTGATTATGCACTTCCTGCTTCAGTTCTCATCATGTCGTTTACGGGTGCTTACTGCTTTTATGATATTGAAAGTTGGTATCAGTTTATTCTCAAATCTATTTTGCGTTAAAAATTTGAAAATGATTTTAAGATAATTTAAATTATGAATTTGTCTATTACTTGAAAACCAAACCTATTGCTAGACTGAAAATTTGAAAATCCGTAATTTTCTTCACACATCTACGTGCTATCAATTTGACACTTAATAGACTTTTTGCAATATTTTCTTTAATAGATTTTTACGAATTGTTTTGATAAATTTAGAATTTTTTGTACTGTGAAATAAAATGATGAAATAATTTTCAGAGGACAAGTTCAAAATGCGTACCAATCTAGCGACATTCACTGTTGCTCCGGTGTTTTCGTTACCGTGGCAGGGCTATTTCGTATGCTTACTCCTTGGCTTCTCATTATCTTTTCTTTTCTTCATTGACCAAAATATCACCTCAGCTATTGTAAATAATCCACAGAATAAGTTCGTTTATTATTTTAAGTTGAATTCTTCGGAAATTTGTTGTAGTTTCGCCAGAAAAAAAACGGATATTATAAAATATGTTTTAGACGATATAACATTTACGACAGGAAGACTTCTTTAGCTAATATACTGTTTGTGAATTCTTTGCAAACAAGTTTAATGTTTAATGAACTCAAATTATCACTTATTGTTATTGTTATTATTTATTATTAACTCTTAATTATTAATTATTATCATTATCGGTTTCACTTCAAATACCAATTTTTTAGAATGATGTTCGCATATTTAATATAAAAATCATGTTCATAATTTTTATTATTTCATTTCAGATTAAAGAAAGGTCCAGCTCAAAATCTGGATTTGTTTGTAGTTGCGATACTGAATTGTTTCTTATCATTAATGGGTTTACCATGGATGCACGGTGCACTACCGCATTCACCGCTGCATTTGCGCGCACTTGCTGACGTTGAAGAACGAGTGCTGCAAGGACATGTCCATGAAGTGTATGCTTATTTGAACTATTTTCCTTTGACATTAAATTGATTCTCAAAAATATCTGACTTGAAATGCATAGTCGACAATGATTAACAATGTTAAAGAAAGATTAAAAATATTTCCAAAACTTTAAACAAGCCTAAATTTATTTGAATAAAAATGATTAATAGTACGCGCAGAGCGGTGAACTGTTCAAGTATTGATAGGCTGCTCTCAAATACTCTTCCAATAATATTGTCACCAGAGTGAACGACTACAAGTTTGAATTATTTCGAAAATTGAATTCATCATAGAGTGAGAAGTTTCTGAACTTCTAAATCATTTTCAACAATTGGTAAAAGAAAAGGTATTTTAGAATAATGAATGTACGCGAGACACGGTTAGCTACACTGATAGCACATTTATTGATATTAATCTCAACCTTTACACTCTTACCATATCCTCTTCAATGGATACCAACATCTGTACTACACGGTTTATTCTTGTACATGGCACTTACCTCTTTGGCTGGTAATGAAATGTTCGAACGATTATTGTTACTTATTACTGAACAGGTAAATATTTCATTCAAATTTTATTATAATAAAGTTTATCCATTCACATGATTGAATAGTAATAATTGCTGAAATTTGTTATGCTACAAAAGGGAATCTGATTAGTTCGAAATTTTTTGAATCTTAGAAATTTTGTTATGTTAGCAAAACTTCATCTTTTTGACATACTACAAATTATATCTCAAATTTTTTATTCTTGATTTTTATAAAGAAAAATTGCATCAAGAAATATTGTTAGACTAAAAGAAAAAATTTTACAGCAAGCCTATCCGCCTACTCATTACATCAGGAAAGTTCCTCAGCGAAAAGTACACTTATTTACTGCCTGTCAGCTTGCACAGCTTTTATTACTTTGCGCATTCGGATTTTCACCCTATCCATTTATTGAAATGGTTTTTCCGATCGTCTGTTTCTTCTTCTTACCTATCAGGTAAGTCAATTACTTTTATATTTTTTTCTGATTCACATCAAAGTTTTTCATATACTTGAGCATGAGCGTACGATATGAATATGATATTAATCAAATAGCTAATATATATCATCGATGTTATTTATTGCAGACATACGTTGATACCACGATTAATTGATTATAAATATTTGGATGCACTTGATGGAAGACATTAGATCGAGATAAAAAATGACGTAGAACGTTTTATATTGATGATATTTTCTATGATTTTTGTTGCACTGTGTATTTCATCTGTTGTACCAAAGAATATTATATGTGGGTTTCGTAGTATACGTCGTAAATTTTTTTTTCTTACTCAAACGTTCATATGATTTTCATATTGTTCAATTGAAAATAACACCTCGGAAAAAATTTTAGTAGAAATTAGTTTCCAGAACAATTGCTAGTGATGCTATGGAAAATCATTCATCACATTTAAGATTAAATTAATAAAACCAAAAAGCTCTGTTCGTTTTCATCTTTGCCGATCTCATCAAGAAGTATGGGATTGAACAGAAGAAGGCATAACATGCATTACAGAAGCAAGTGTGATTTGCAGAGGTCAACTAAGTCGTATTTAATTATATCTTTGCTCTGTTGTGTTTTCTGCAAATAGTAGGATTATAAAGAAAAAATGTTGCTGAAAAATGAAGATAAAAAGGCTGAAAATAGGGTACTGAAATATTTTGAATTTGAATCGTTAAGTGTCGTGAAAAAGTTACTATAACGAGCACACTAAGCAATAGCTATGGTTATCAGCGAGAATTATCCTTTATTTGATTCTAATTCCATCAATATATATTCGATTTGATTCACAAGCAAATTTATTATCAAATTATTAGTAACAATTACTTGATAGTGCACCTGAAACTTAGAAACATTCAGATATGATGTACTCATTGAAGCAGTTACTGTAAAGCACCGTTACAAAATAAGTGGATGATGATTCCAGAGAAATGTGATGATTCTAGAGGATTCTAGAAGATTTAGCAGTTCCTGAAATGAATACAAATTTATGATAATTTTAGATTTTCCATCTCTCTCCTCCTTCTTTCTATTATATATTTTTTCACTTCTCTCTCTTATACTCCTTCTCTCAATTAAAGTCTCGACAGCTCGTAAATTCTCTTTGAAGGATAAAGACAAAAAAATTGATGATAAAAAAGTTTGCTGAATTATATTAATGATGATTATGTGTGCAAATCTACATATACTAGGACTTTTTTTTAAATTCAAATTTGCATAAAGTGAATTTTACATAAAAATTCTTAAATAAAGATTTAATAACTAGGAGCTATTTCCAAGCATTCATTTTTTCTTCTTCAAGCGTTTTCTTTTCCGATCATAGCTTTTTGCGTGAAGATAGGTATAACTGTGAATATTTTCATATCCATGTTTACTTGATAGCACATTGAGAAGCATTGAAAATGTAAATGATTAAAGAATAAAAAATAAGTAAGCGATGATATTTCCTAATTTTTTTATAACTCAGAATTTAAATTTGAAATTCTGCAGATAGCGATGAAATTTTTGATGCAAACTGCACTGCTTTCATGGATTTTGGTAGTCGGAGCAAAAAATGAATCATTTTTAGTAATTCAAGAAAGCCGGAACACTGAAAAGAATGAAGCGACTAAGTTTCCAGCATCAAAACAGTTTGTTCAACGATTTGATTATTAGAACATTTAGCCTTTGAATAGTGCGCCACTACTTATAACTATTAAAAACTTTGAAATTATAATTTTTTATTTGCATCGCAGTGTGTAATATTTTTTAAAACACAATTTCCAGAGGGTTTGAAACATTGGAAGAATTGATGAAGAAGATGAATGAAAAACTGGAAAATAATGTTGTTGGTATATTATATGATATAAAATGCTTGTGCTGAATAATCAATGATTAATCTGACATGTTCGCTAATTTTTGTAAAATACTAACAGATAGTTTAAATTAAGGATTTGACAAAATTGATAAATTATGATAGTATGAAAATGTAAATTCCATAATTTGTCTCACTTTTTTTTTGAAAAAACAAAAACTTTTTTCCATCTTCAAACAGTACTCGAATTTATTGCCATTATTTATTTTTTCACTGAGCAATTTTCATAATGGTGTCAAATGGTGTCAAATTTCATCATATTTTAGTGTTATTACAAGTAAATTTAAATTTTGGCATTTCACAAAATAGTTTGTTTAAATTTAGAAGCGACGAAATGATATTTTGGTAACGAACAAAATTCAGCTATCAGTGATAATTGGCATGTGGACGTTTCTCACCTCTCTTTGGATCACTTGTAATGTGAGAATTTATTTAGGGTAGGATTTTCTAAACTTTAATGCTTGTGAAAATTATTTAAAAAGAAAGATATAATCTATTTCTTTCGTTTTCTCAAATTTCTTTTTTCATGAAAAAAATGCAAATTTTTATTGAAACTGATTCAATTTAGACGCAAAAGAGATATTCATAGACTCGAGAAACACTATCAAAAAACAGTGTAAGTTTAATCCTTGCAAAACTTTAATTAGTCTTTTCTTGCTAGCAAATTAATAAATGCAAATAGTTTAAAATTTTATAATTTATCATTATTTGATTTTGAATGTCAAATACGTAAAGGCTTAGTGTGATACCATTGAATTGAAAATAATGATGGTAATTCAGCTTTTTTCTACAGTTCACAATTGCTTGAGAATAAAAGAAAAGAACTGGAAAAAAAAACGTCAAAGGGAAAAAAAGAAAAACGAAAGAAACAAATGCAAAATGTTCAGCAATTCAAAGGTGATTTAATTACAAACTTAATTATCTGTTTTTTCGCTGGTTTAAATTTTATATGAAAGCATTCAAATTTTATAATTATCACTTTAATGGCAACTTTAATTCTTATTTTTTAACCATAACTGATACATAAAATGAAAAAATAAGAATTAAAGTCGTCATTAAAGTAACAATGGTAAAATAAAATGAGGTTATATTCACGGTAAAGGTCAGAATGAACATGCTGACCCTGTTCAAGACACTGTCTATATTGAATATAATCAACATGTGCTTGCAAAATTACCGTCTTCCAGATTAAATAAAAACGCTTGGCTTTTAATCAATTTATTTTTTCTAATTGAAATTGCCTTACTGATTGAGAAAGGCAAAAATAGCGAATGACTGAGCTTTGAACATTTCTAGGATTATTATTTGTTATTTGGCAAAAAAGTTTGCCCAACTTGGAAATTTTCGTGATTTGCAGAAGGTGAAGAACGAAGTCCAACGGTGAGTACCGAATTCCTAGCAAGTTTAGAAGAAACTGAGAATATAGAAAAACTAAACAGTTATAATATAATTGATGATCAAGGCGGTATGGCTCAAATAACTAAAAATCATATAAAAAAACAAATGGTATTGCTAAAAACAATGATGATTAATTTTCGAAAATAATTTTTATTTTTATTATCTGTTTTCAAAGAAGTTTTTTAAGTAAAATTTAATAGGAAAAATTGAAATAACAAAAAAAATCGCCAAAAAAAAAGATATTTGTCATTTCAATATTAAACTGGCACTCATTTTTTTTATTCTTATTTAAGTAATATTATTTTATAATATTGGAGAAGGAGAGATGGAAAAGCAAATAAAGTAATCAACAAGAATGAAAGTGAGAGGAAAGATGGTGACAAATCGAAACAAAATAAATGAAAACATATCGAATATTTCTCACCACTGAAAGTCAAATCTGTTTGTGTTACTGTAAATTGTACAGATATTTTCTTTTGTTTCAAATCGTTGTTTGAAAGTATAATTGATTACCTTTAATTGTATAACTTTCTAATGATATCACAAAGTTTAAAAAAAGCATTCATCATTGACAATGGTGAAATTGAATGAATTTATGAAAAAAAAAGATTTAACAAACGGCATGATGAATTGTCTTGTATGATATTAACAACCTTGAACGAGGGAAGCAGTCTTCTTGACCGGGTCAAGTACAACAGCATAGTGGTGGCAACAAACCAAAAAACAATTTTAGCAGTTGAAATCATAAGTTGAGAGGTGAGAGAGAATGCTTCCCGCTGATCAATAATGAAAAACACATTTACTAATTTTTACCTGAATCCATAGCACAAATTTACCACTTTTAATACAACTTAAAATTTGTTACAGAAAATTAAAAATCACTTAACAAAATAAAAAGAAAATTAAGACGAATAAAATTTGCAGTCAAATAATGCTATTCCGAACTAACATAGCAATATGAATTCCACTCAAATTTACAATATTTCTACTATCTATGGCAAAAATTTACAAATAAAATCAATTATAAAATGTCGATCGCAATTAAAAAAATTCATTTGTTTGATTTATGCATAGCACAGTATCATATTACTTAAGCATACAAAAAAATGCTCAACTTTTTTATTCATGAAGTCAAGCCATTGTTGGTTGCGGACATGCATAAAAAATTAAATAAAATTGAGCATTTTTATAGCAATTCTAGCAGATCATCTTTGTCACAATTGTTCGCTGTTCGAAATTTGTACGGAGTATCAGCAAGCCAAGTTGATGTCAGAATATCCGAGTATTGCTTACGCTGAGATGGTATCGGATGTAATATTTCATAAATTAAAGTTTTTACTTCTTTGCTTATCAATATCCTACGAGGGAATGTTAATCTGAAAAATACAAATTGCTTGAATCATCAATTTAGTTATTCAATCTCACATTTCTTCAATCAGCAATATGAAAGGAACAATATTCCCAGGAAGTATGAAAGAATAAGATATCACTCATCTTATATAATAAAGAATAGATTGTTAAATTTTGTAACCAAACATTTGAAGCTTTTATATCCCAGATATTCATTGCGTTATTCCGGAAATGTATTATTTACACTTCAAATAAAATCATGCTCATAAGTGTTGAATTACAATTTTCTATTGCAAAATACTATAAAAGGTACCTATGTTGTAATTGCTTTGAGAGCATTCTCTGCGGATTTTGATCATTGTATGGCATCAAACCGGTAACCATGACAAACAGCACTATGCCCGCACTCCATAAATCGACCGAGAAACCCGTGTAGGGTTGCGATCTTGAAGCAATCAAATTTGTTCCATTCAATGCTGACATTATATTAATACTAGTAATTATCGTTGAAGGAAATACCTAAGTACTTCCGGTGGTACATATGCTCTTGAACCGCAGAAAGTGTGTGATATATCATTACTGTGCATTAGTCTTGAGAATCCAAAATCGCCAAGTTTTATATTTCCATAGATATCCAAGAATATATTTTCACATTTCAAGTCACGATGTGCTACTTCAAGCATTTTCAAATACTGAATTTCATTACTTGCATAGAAATCATTACAATCAGTAATGATAAATACTTTGTTTAGCAAACACTGTGTTCAAAATATTGCCAAATTTTGCTTTTTTTAAAATTAGATTTTGCCCTGTTTTTTTTGACTAGTTTCTTTTAAATTTTAAGTAGGTGAAGTTATAAATATCATATTTTAAATCTCCCACTTTAGATATCGTCATTTGAACAGAAAAACAGTTGGGTAGATTTTACAGAAACAATTAAAAAAATGTTGTATAAGACTAAATACTCCGGGAGAATTATAAATTTTTAAATAAATCGATTTAGAAGCTACGTCAAAAAAGTGCAAAAAGTTAAAAATTGAAAGTCAAAATTTTTCAATCAAAAATCTTAAAATTTTAGAAATTTGAAACCATGAGTGCTTCAAGTAGCTGCCGGAAAAAAAATTTGGAAGTGTTTTCACTGAGTCGTTCCTTCTTTCTAATTTGATACAACAAATCTTTCCCACCAGCATATTCTTGAATGATATAAACTGTTGAATCACAATCGATTATCTGTGGGTTTTCAAAAATAAATTAACTGCGGTTAAAAAAATAAAAACAAAAAGAGTAAAAAAATTTTAAAAATTTCAATTTTTCATGCAAACACATTTTCAGTTTGTTTTTCTAAAATTTTCACACTCGAAAAGCTTCAATGATTGCAGAAATATTTCCGAAATAAGCTTATATAAAGCGTAAATCTTTGCTTACCTATCTTATTTTTTAATTTAAAAAAGGCTTAAAAAATAAACTTCATAAATTTCAGTAATGTTTGGATGGCTGAGCATTGGTAAAATTTGTAATTCTCGTGGAAGAAAGCGAAATACGAAATCAGTTTTTGATCTGAATACATAAAAAGCAGAAATACGTTCATGGTGATTTGTAAATAAGTTTAATCTATGATATTATCGGTGTGCATAAACTTCACCTATGGATTAAACTAATTAACAATATAAAGTAAATATTAGTGAAAAGACTTCATCTTTAGAAATTTCGATATTTATATTGCATTTTTATATTAATATGTATGTATAAAGTAGCATGAGAAATTTGGAAGATGAAGAGTTCCAGCATTGTTTTTTAACATATTATTACCAATGTGACTGACCGTCTATCGATAATTTTAATTGCAACATTTTTAGAAAATTTTTTGGACCAAGCCAGTTGAACCATAGAATATGTTCCTTTTCCTGATTGAAAACTTTTATTATTTTCACGAATATTTGACTGATACTAAAATATCCATAACTATTTTTCCTCCTTTCATTTATTAACACATCATAAAAATGTTGCTTATTATCAATGTGTACACTAACAATAGGCTGTGTCAGTAAATTTTACGACAATCACATATATATATTGGAATTTTTTTGCAAATAAATTAGCGTGTAAAGAATGTTTTGAGAAGATGAGTAAAATTTATCAAAAATTTTTTTTTAAATATCTGTATTTATATGTTTGGTCCCACCTCAAGTTAAACGTCCTCTTTATTATTCTGTGAAATTATATTACACCAGGAAAAATTATCTTAGATTCCATATTTGTAAATAAGGCCGATGCATTGAACTCACCAATTATTTCGCTACATTTGTATCCTCTGCTTAACAATTGATTGCTTACTTCGATACTCGTTGGACTTCGAGAAGAAATCTGAAATTGAATAAAGTAATAACTATTACTTATCATAGTCATTGTCCGAAAAAAGAACAACTAGCCTAACAATCACATATCAGTATCTCACCTTTGGATTGATTTTAAGATGATTTACAGAAGACTCAAGAAACCTGTTCATAAAAATTACACTAATAAAATGATGCCATCAATCATTTTTTCTTGTACTTATGCAATTTTGAACCGGAAAATTGGCCCTCGTTTTCAATAGCTTTTTTATGACTTGAGAAAAAACTATTTTGTTGTAATTAGTAGAACATATAATGTTTATTGTCATTTGTATAACAGAAGAAACAAAAAGAAGAACAATACAATTTGACAAACAGAAGGCCAAAAACAACCGTACTCCTGCAATGAAGTAAGAAAATTTCGTAATATATCAAATAAATATAGCAGAAAGTAAAAAAAGCACTTCTGGCTGCTTGTCAGAAGTTCGATTTAAACTTAAAACCAACCATATCACTAAAAATGAACAAATTTTAGATGAAAAAAATTTAGATGGAAAATGTCCAACTTGGTAATTTAATAATATTGGAATTGCGTTGAATTCCGATTAATATCTGTAGTTTTATTGAGCTGCATCTATCAAGTAACAAATTTTCAACAATAAATGAGTATTCATCAGCTAAAAGATGGCAGAGATCTATCAATAGTTGGATAAAATATAAATGTAATTATTCACAATTTGATATATTCAAATTAATACATTGCAGTAGGCACACAAGAAAATAAACAAAAGCATGAATCTTCTGCTGATTAATTAGATGATTGAGGAAATTTATGAAAATGACAAAAATTGCAGAATTAACATGCAAGGATAAGAATCAATATCACAAATTATTATGAGAGGAAAGAATACAAAATACATATTGCAGTTCATTTATCAAATGAATTAACGAAGACTGGCAGTATATTCTGAAGGAAATATAAAAGACAAGTTCGTTTTAAGAAGCAACCTGAAAATATTCTTTGTGAATCCAAAATTAAGCTAACAAATATCTCAAAAAAGTTAAAGCAATAATCTTAGCTATGAATTAAACTTTCAGGGAGAAATGACTATGAGAATGCAGTAAAATCAAACAACAAAGTTAACTTACACATGATTTTATGCTAAGAACAAAATTTATTACTCTGAAATGGTCAAGCGTTAATATTGCCATTTAAATTTTGGCGAAACTATGTTAAAAATAAAAATTCTCTTCAAAATACATACAAATCAAACTATGAAATTCTAACAAAATATTAAATTCCTTTAATTTGGAAATGAAATCTTCAACTCAGTCAGTTTATTAAGGCTTTCTCACATTCTTCTTATAAAACGCTAAAGAATTTGATGCTATTCGCACAGGCAACTCACATATAAAAGCTAGGTTTCCTATTACTAACAAAATTCATTAATTATATGCTAAGAAGTAATCTATTTTTAAGACACTATATTCTGCTCAAAGCTTGTAAATCAAACGTGACACTGCAGTTTTCCAATTAAAATGCTCCCGTATAAATTATTTTCATTACTTACCTTTCGCATTTTCTCCCGTATAGTCCTAATCAACAAAGCTGTCTGGAAAATCAACTGGTTAGCCGAAATCGAAACCTGTAAATTACAAGTAAAAAAATAAGAAAAATCTATGTTTTTATTTTTTACAGAGTGAAACATCGAATGAATAAGAATTCATTGATTACCGCGGGTAAAACAGACAACAGCAGAGGAATACCTGAGTTGCATTTTGGTCTTTGAAATACTCTTTTAATGTGTTGCTGAAGCGTTTTGAATAATGGACAAATTCTCGTTTCCGCTTCTCAACCGCTGCAAATACTAGGAAATTTTTCGTGAATGTTAGTAGAAAATATAAACATTTTGTCATCAGGAAAAATTATACGTTAAGTTTTTTCACTTAGAAAAACAGATGAAAAAACTAATGAAGCAAATTTATTGCAAAGGCAAAATATTGCTTACAAAGTTGAACGCTCGGATGGATCACTTGCATTACTGCATTTGTAGCATCTAAAAGTTTTTTAATAGATGAGGCAATCTCCTTTATTGTTTCCAGAAAAGTCCGTCGATCAGACATCTCTTCAGGCACACGAGCTAGAACTCGTCGTAGAGCAATTGCCCTGGAAGAAAATCATTTAATATAATTTCTTCATATTCATTTTATGGAATTAGAATTGACTGCAAACTTTGTAAATACAGTCCAACCTCGATGACAATTCCTGATATTCTCCTTGACGTAGATTTGGTAATTCTAAATCGTCAGTTGGTGCAGTTGCCTGTCTTCGCAAAAAAGCTTCCTGCAACAAACGCAAGATAATAAACACCTTCGTAAAGCAACTGTTATGGAAAAAAAGAACTTCATGTTGAGATAAATTAGCATCTATATATCTCGAGTCAGAGCAGTGACTCTGTTATTTATGTCGTAAAATTCGTAAATCATGAAAAGCAAGATTGATGACTATTAATCTCATTGATTTGAAACGCTTTTGATTAAAAAAATTGACCACGAGATCAGCTAGCGCAATATATTCGATGTAAAGAACTAAAGGGTGAAATCATTAAAACAATTTAAAGGTTGAAGTATTTTCTTTCTTAAAAAGCATATAAGCGAGTTATCCTTAAAAAGTGTTTAATAATTTTTGCGTCAACTGTGGACAAGGATGGGCAAGACACTACCTGAAGATTAACATTTAACTCTGAGTCCATCAGCAAGACTTTCGTGAAATCGAAAAGGAAGGACGGCGAAGAAATATCAGCCTGTCTCAAAGTATTCCGTAACCGCTGAAAGATAATTTACAAAAACTCGAAAAGTTTTAAAAATTAAATATAGTTACATATGAAGAAAAAGTAGAAAGAAAAAAAGAGAACGAGAAACCTATTCATATAATGTCTTACGTGAATCACATGAACAGCGATATCGTCATTCCGACGATTTTGGACAATACGATCCAATACGCCACTATACAAGCACTGATATGTCATCGCACCTAGATATCCTCCTTCTTCATTCATCGCCATTAATCTAAAATTAATTTATGTTGTAAAGTTCGAAATAAGATTAAGTCCACACATAAAAGCATAAAGTAAGTTTGAAGTAGAATAATGAAATAGAATATTGCACTATGATACTAAAGCTGCTGAAAGCTAAGCATTAAAAAATTATAGTATATTAGATGACGATGCCAAACTTCCCAACGAAAGTAAACAAAAGCTAAATCATTGTACCTGCAGTTTTAATTAAGATAAATTCCAGACTTAATTCAGCTAATGAGAAAAAGGTGAAAAGCAATATAGAAGTATTATTTATATTTTAAATAATAGTTTCTAGTGGACAAAGTGAATGACATATCAAATCTATTAAACTATGAGCGTTAAGAAATAAGCATATTCTTTTCAAAAACAGTTGACCAGCTTTCCAACACAAAAAAATGTCTTCTCATAAATCATCACATCTCACGTTAGTTCAAATCGAGTCCAAACAATACGATGATAATTTACAAAATACTCAGTGTTATTTTCGCATAATTCGATATGTTCGCCAACTCTCTTTAAGAAAAGCTTCACATTACGGAGCTAAATCAAGAAATCTATATTAAAATAATAAAGCAAAGTAGAGAAACAGGAAGACTGTAAATAGGAACAAAATCAAGTAAATTCAATAAATGATGCGAAAACATCCAACTTGACGTCTGACCATTTAATGGAATTGGAAATATCTGATGACAAAAAATGAAATAAAGTGAAAGGTTAAATGATAATTATTATTGTATAAGTGTGAAAAATGATATGAATCTTTAGAACTACTTAAGGGCAGATTTATAGGAAAGATAATTTTCAGCCTAAATGCAAGTTGAATAATTTAATGTTAAAGCCTTCTTCCTTTACTTTATTTATAGGTTTACGGATTTGTATAGAAGAAATTAATGAATATTAGTTAACTTTTTAAGATGCTTTGCACTGATTATTAATTTACTTCACAAATTTGAATAAATGTTGAAAAGATTAGCTCATTAAGTCTTCTCAAATTTTCCACAATCGAATTCATTTCCTATGATTATCATAAAAGGTAGGTGTTGCTGTCCTGAACAAATGGACTTATTATACGCTAATACAATATAAGGAATCGAAGTTAAACAATCGTCAGTTAGAAGATCTTGAACTTTCAAATATCCGTGATTAGTTACAAAATATTTCAAGATAAGGGAACTTTGGAATCTAACAATTTTCGTAATGTTCATCTCCAATAGATTATTTATAATTGTAATCGAATTTCCATGAAATTTTCTAAAATACTTCTGCCAAAGACCAAACTCACTAATCTCCACACATATAAGTATAATATATGTCAGGAGAGCGGAGGAGTTAATAAAAATGGTGTATTTTTTAATTATCTCATCTGCAAAAAACCAAAGAAAGCACCGTTGTAACATTAGCGACTACTCATTTATTTTACTAAAGTTCAAACTATTAAAACTGATTGCGGTTCTTGTATTGAGCATGATGAGCTAGTGGTACCGGTTCTGGGAATCTTCGGTGAATTCAGTCTTGTGCGAGATGTATAAATGTGAAAATGCTAAAGTTTTAAACGCATTATTGATAAACGGAAATGGTATCAATTGTAGTCATAAAATGTAGTGAAATTAATCTCTTCTTAAACAAAATTTATGAAATAATGAAAGAAAATTGCACCACCGACAAACCGTAAAATAAAGAACCCAAAGGATTCATATCTTGCAGTTATTCCCAGAAGAAATGATAATTTAATACACTTCCACCATGAAAACTTGAATCCTACAGCATGGCAAGAAAGTACTGAGATTGTTGAGAGTTGTTAGGGACATGATTTCCAAAATTTCAGATTTTAGATTATTTTTAGGCCTTGGATTTTTTTCTCTCAGCTTACTTTTATACTTGTATTAACTGCTTAACCTATTCTGTACATATGCTAATTTGATGAAAATAAATTGCTATGAAAAAAATATTTAGCTATGGTATTATTCATTGTATTACATGTACTAACTGGTGACCAGTCATAGTAAGACAAGGATGTCGTTCTTTTTCCTGTTGCTAATTATATGCATTATCGGTGCCGTAGGCTACTTTGTTGTAAAGGTTTGTTGCGAGCGATAAATGATTAACGATGAATTTTTTGATCTCGCAACGAATAGCTCATTCTTTATTAGAAAAATTTAGTTAATCGCTTATCAGCTTTACTTTAAATTCGATTAGCAGTTGTCAATACTTCGTTTATTAAAAAAAAGAAATTCATTACAGTACTGTTATAGAATTAGTGAAATCTTATTTTTTCAGAAAAAGAGTGTTGCTGGTGCTGCAGCGGCAGCTGGAAAACATGCAAGTATTTTTTACATTCTCATGAATTCTTCACTATTCTGGTAAGAATATTGCTCTAAATTTCTATCCCTTAACAGATATCATTATAATTCACTGAAATATTGAAGTTATAGGAAAAAATTTTAGGATGATGTAATTGTCACCGCAAAACCTATGGATCCAACACCAGAAGCTAATGCAAGTTCTTTAGTATTATTATTTCATTTTTCATATCGTTTATTTTGTGTTTTTTTTCTTATTTTTAATTGTTAAAGCAATTTCGTGAAAATTTCAAAATTTTCAGAACTTGAAAAGTTCTAGCATTTTGGAACAAAATAGGAGAATAGATGAAATTCTTGATAGCATGTTTCTGTTCATATTCTTATTGCTTTGCTGTACAATCAGCTGTTTTCTTTGAATTTTTTTTTATGTTGTAGAGATGGCAACGTAAACCAAATGTAACTATTGCATGGAATATTGTTCCTAAAAAACTGTGCCTTTATATTTAAAATCAAAAATAATTTGTATTATTTTAGAGCTAAAAAATGAAAATGTTACAGATTCTGACACCATCATCAACCTCAACGGACACACAGGGAGTGGAAGAGAGTAAAAGTGGTTCCAAAAAAAAGAAAAAGAAAGGTAGTAAACGGAAGAAACAGAAGAAACAGTGAACAAGAAATGGCAACACAGTGGAGAATTATTTAAACCTTCTTTTCCTCCATTGATAGCAATCATTATAGCTTGCAATAACTGACAAATCATGTCGCACATTTGTCTTACTTCTCTCTTCTTAAAATAACAATGAGATGAATTTTTATCTCTCACCAATTCTATAAATAAACTTTTTGCACATGAATAATCTTTGTTGTACGGATTATTGAAACAAACAAATAGAAAAATTAGATTTGAAATTCCATGAAAAACGCAATGCAACTTCCGTTTTCTAGTGGCTTCTCTGGCCACCTGTTTTGTCATCTCATGTATTTTCTTAATGCTATCTCCAACTAAATAATATTTCTGCAAAATAAATCTGGAACACATTGCTTCCAGACATATTACTATCTTAAAATCGCAAACTTATTTCCCATATGAATCATTTGCAAGTACTTGTTTTGTCGTTTGTTTCATGAGGAAGTATAACAAAATTTGAATTTCTTGAAAGTCACATATTTCTTTTTTGACTGTTCGGATCTTAAAAGATTTATAGATGATTTCTGTGATTTTTATTTTTTAGTTCTGTTTGTTTTAATCATTGATTTCTGTAATGATTTATTGGAAATAGCTCTTCTAAAAAATACCAATAAAAAATAGTTCAGCAGATCTTTTTTGCAGTGTCGTACTGTGATATCAATCCATAAAAAATAATAGCAAAATACAATTTTTCAATTATTGATTTGTTAAATAGAAGAAAAATGAGAGAACGGAAAAGAAGTGATGAATTTCCAGAGATTCGATATTTAACAAATCAATAACTAAAAAATTGTATTTTTTTTCAAGATTGAGTCGCTTCAGTGGTCAAAGAAATTATAGAAATTATAAAAGCGAAATCGTAAAAAAATAATCAATATAAGATTATTTTCAAATTATTGACAGCTGCAGTTCGACACAGTTCTTAAACTCCATGACGTGACAGATATAACTTGAAAATACTTCACATTAAGATTGGAATCATTAGTTTTGGAGAATTTTTCCTTCTAATATGTATATTACGTTTTGCCGAGAACGGCGTTAGATCAATAATTATTATTTAGTTCGTATTTAGACGTGACATGATTGAAATTAACGTGTCAACTTTAGAATTTCATCAAAATCTTATAATTTTGATCACTCAGAGGGAGAGACAGAGAGGAATGCAGGGGAATCTTTTACGAGAAAGAAAAAGTTTTTTAACAAGATCTCTAAAATTGTTGGCATATATTAGAATAGAATAACTCTTTCAGATGTTTATAAACTGATTAGAACAAAATAGTGAACGAAAAAAAGTCTTTCTGTGATGGTGAACTGATGACCTCATCAATCTTTTGCAGTACAGAAAGTATTAGCATCAATATCAACGATTCGAATTACTGAACTGATGCTGGAAGAAGCCATTAACGATTTGTTACGTAATACCTATATTTGATTGTTAGGGATTTAAATATTATCGTTGTTGTACGAAACTTCAAAAATCGACCTTTCGCTTATATCACTAAAATAAGTGGCTAATTTCCAATTTAGAAATGAAATTCCATTAAAATTAAGATGATCCTAATTCTGTACTAAATAACCATATTTAGGAATTTGCTTCCAGATAGAAAAATTCCCGACAATTGATTAATAATCGTCCCCTAAAATCAATGAGCGCTTCAGTTTTTAATTATCGAAGAGTCGATCATACTCATTATCTGTATGGAGATGACCTATGACATCGAAAAGTGAAGGAGTTTGGGAACTACTGAACAAATAACAACTACAAAGCATTGAAATCCTCTTTGTAAATAGGATCGATAAACAATATGAATAAAATATGAAATATCTTTACATTATTTCAAATAATATGATTATGTTTTCAAGCACTTGAAAAATTGAAATCAACAATAGAATAAGTAATCACTCAGTGAAACAGAAACTTGTATTGCACAAGTTTGGAAATAAAACTAGAAGTAATTAAATTTCTCAAGATTACAGCAAAATTTCTCCATTAATTCAGTGAAATCTACGAAATCACTATCATTATCGGTTTAATAAGCAAAAAGTAATTTAAAAAATAAACCGTCACAGCTAATCGTCTTATAAACATATCCCCTAGTTTTTTCTTAATTTTTTGCGATCAATACAAAGAATTTAACTAACTATGAAACAAACAATATCAAACGAGAATTAGCCTTGAAATTAAAAACAATTATCAAATTCCCATGAGCATAGTGAGCATATGACGGATCTCATGGATTCCTATTTATTAAATAATTGATAGTTCTGAAAAACTACTGTTAACAAATTAAATACAAACTGAAAATTAACAGTGGATCAAATGAAAAGCTGTTGTTGTAGAAGACATCTTTAACAACTTGCTTCACTTACGAAGTCCTCCTTAATATAAGCAATCATTTGGTTATCGTTATCTGAAATAAACAGAAATTTTCAAATTCTTTTTAAGGAAAGTGAAAATTTTTCAAATTCTACACGGAATCTACATGAAATATCCATTTCATTATTAGGTGTATCCACCACCAGCTCTACACAACTAAAAAAGCAAGTGCATTCACGTCTTTCAATATTTTTGCGTTATTTTCGCGTCACTCTGACTTGCACTTCAAACTCGGGTAGAGAAATAATACGAGTTAGTGTAAGTGTCCTTTGCAAATTTGAAAAATTAAAATGCAGTCAATTGTTAATTTACCTTACAGGTCACAGGACTTAAGGAAAAATTCGTCTTACATGAATGACTTTGATGGCATGTTCGCAAATTATTACAAAGTTAACAAGATTTTGAAAATGGTGATCTCTAGTATAATGCTAAAATCGTTTACAAGTTTTACGTTTATAGCAAACCTAAAATACGCAAATGATCCCGAAGATTAAATCCGGTGCATTAAGCTCATTTTTAGGAAAAACAAGCTAAAGCAAAGTAATAACGATTTCTTCACTAATTCCATCAGTTATAAATATCCACATACAAAATATCCTCAAGCAATTTTCAAACAACAAGTGCATGCGAAGAACACTGCAAAATAAGCTTTAGCATATGGCATTTGTTCAAAGTTTGAGCTATAGTATCCGAAATTTCATAATCTCAAATGCATATCTTGTGTAATATGAGAATTTAAATGGTTTATCTTATTCAATGTTTTTATCTAACTACCTATTTTATACATGCAATAAATTCAGACTTTGTCTATACATAAAGCATACTGGAAAAATATTCAAACCTGAATTTTTGTGTCCATCTGATCAAGTAAGCACTTCATCGCATTTCTTGTTGCAGTCGTATCTGCTGCTCTAAAATCAACCATATCAATGCTTAGCTAAACGTTACATACCTGCTTTATAGTTCAGGAATTCAAGTCTTATCTTTCTCATCAATTTTAAAAATCTGACATGTATGAATCCATAGTTTAACAAGAAACGAATCACAAAGAAACGAACTTTTCATATCATCAAAATTTACATAAAGTAAAGTATCTGACATACAAAACTGGGAAAAAATGAAAACTAACAAAGAAAATCCAGGCTGTTTTGCATACAACCGAAGTAGTTAATGATGTGGAAAAAAATCCACCGAATAATTTGCATAAAATTTTATGAAATTTTATTCAAAAAAGCATTTAAAAGCCAATGTCTTTAATCCAATTTGAGCACCTATTTCAATAATGACATTTCTTCAGCGCTCAAAAACAATTTCAGTCTTACCGAAATTCTGCGATGATAACTCATTTATGCACCAACAATAGGACAAGAAGTCCCCAAATTTTACATTAATCCATTTATTAAAGTTGCAAAATAAACATTAAAATAGTAAGACTCTTGTTTCATAGTTCTATCCAAAAATATATGGATAGAATTATGAAACAGACCTTATATTGCTTTGCAATAAAATCTACTTTTATGAATAAGGCAGCCTAATCGCTTCTTTCTATAGATTGAGAAGAAAATTCTCTGCTTTGAATACAATCCTAGAAAAGTCGAATAATACTGCAATTTTATTACAGAAAACCCAAATAGAGGAAAAGCGAAATTGAAAAGATGCAACAGTCATACTACTGTCATGCAAACCAAAAAAAATCGATCAGCGATTAAAGAGGATTAAACAAATCATCTTGCGTTATTGACCTGAGCTCATTACTGCTTGATTCCGTCAATGCGTGTATCATACGTGTCAATTTCGCAACACGTTTTTCGCTTACAGCCAAATCTTGCTTTAATGCGAACAAATGCTGCAATTCGAAAATTTAAATCTTTCTTCAATGCAAAGAACAGAAAAACTGAATTAGTTCAAAGCGTGCTAACCCATGCTAACTTAAATTTTTACTCCTGCCAGATCGAATAAATGCAAAAAACATTTGTAACTTTCCGCTGAGTCAAAAAAATTATTGATTTATGTAGTTCTACGAAGGTTTAAATTTCAAAATTTCCTTTTATTACCTCAGAGTTCCACTTGCTTTCATCGTTTGCAACATCTGTAGTGCTAAGTGATTCATTCTTAATATTAATATTTGTCGATGTTTCGCGCTCTCTAAATCAGTGGCCGATAAGTTATTTTATTAAATTATGCACAATTAAAAATTTAGTTTCTTCTCTTCTTTTCCTCATTATCCGAAAAATATTGTGTCGATTAATAAACTTGTAAGTAGCAAGTTCTTGATAGAATATTCCAGCAGAAATAGAACTCACAACTGTGCTAATTCAGTCATCAATTTTGTATTTTCGGCCACTACAGCAATGTAAACTTCATTCAATTGTTGATATTTTTCGTCTGCAACATTCACTTGATTCTCCAATTGTTCATTTCGAGCCTTTGTATGAGCCAACGCATTCGCCAATTCATTATTGGTCAAGTGCTGTAAAACTCGTAGAAAAATTAGAAGCTTTAAGAAAAAAAGGAAAAGAAAACACTGTGACGGAACTCTATGACGGAACTCAGAAAGCAGTTTATTAGCTACCTAATATTTTTAACAGTAAATCGGGGAATTTAAATCAAATTTCAGTTTTGGATAACATCATTACTCTTCAATATGATATCTACTTTCTCAAATTCTTTTTTCTTCATGCTCATACTCTTATCCGAATGAAATACTTTGTGAATTTATTCAATTTGTGATCTAAGTTCCAGTTTAGCAAGGAAGCCTGGCCAAATGCAATTGCCGGGAGTTAAATATCATCCAACAAGATCCAGCAGTTTTCAGTTTAAAAAACAAACATTATTCTTTTTCTTCTCACTCGCCTAATTAAATCGATTGAAATTAAACATTTTCTTGGATCGAATTCTAGAAATAAAAAAAAAAATTCTAGAAGTAATTCTAAAAATAAAGATAAAACTCCAGAAATAAGAAATTCTAGAAATAAAAATTTTTAATCCACATTAAAAGACTTAGAAAAAATCAGTGATAGTACTGCTTGGCAAGAGGGTGAATAATGTACTTCGAACAGTTTATTTGTAAAGCATATGAAGTATTAAAAATGACCTATCTTTTGTTCTACAAATCAAATCAACCTTTGTTTCCTCATCATTTTGATCTATGTCACCTCCAACTGATGATTCATGTGCTCCAATAGCCATTCCGTTAACCGGTTCCGAAGCCGTACCCAGATTAGACGTCTCTTTCGATGGAAGCTGTTCGATATTTAATGTGGCCATCCTAAATTCATTTAGTATCAGTTTTACGCACAAGCATTTCACAAAGTGTCGAAATAAAGAAATGCTTACTTTCTAACAAGAAACTCGATTTCCTTCTTTTGAGCAGTAATAATATTTTCGCGATCCATCAGTCTGCTTTTAAGTTCATTAACCTAAAATAAATTACTATTACTATCCTAATATTTACTGTTCTTCGATTTACTAATTTACTTCAGAAATATAAACATCGAAAAAGGTTGCTTATCGAAATATTAAATTAAATTATGAACAAAAATTAGACGATCTCCAATAATTTAAGGTAGTACCGAAAATTTTCGACGATTTTCATTAATTTAAGCATAGTGCTAAAAATTAGACGATTTCCAATAATTTAAGCATAGTGTCAATTACCTTTTCGCACATGAATTTCTGATCTTGATTTAAACCACGTAAAAAAGCCAATTCTTTATCCTTTGCGCGACAGCTTTCCATTAGTTTCGACAAATCATCTTGCAAACGTTTCACTGATCTTAAAAACATTGTACAATATTTCTTATTTTTCGTTCCTTAGCGATCATGCTGTTTCATCCAAATAAATGAACTAATTTAATTTCTCATTTTATTCTCTTCATATTTAAATTTCTAACCATACTACGAATCTCAAAGTCAATCTTTGCATCTTTTTTCTGATAATGTAAGGAACAGATAGATATACGTGAAAAATCTTCGAAAAATTAAAACAGCTATGTTGCGTAGTAAAAATATTTAATAAATATAAACCTTTCCTTTTGTTCCAACTTATCGTTAACGACTTTAATATCAGCGCGTTGCTGTGCAATGATTGAATCTTTAGCTGTTGAAATTCTCGCCAATTCAACGAACTGCTGTTCCAATGGTGTCTGTTCATCACCCGTTATTCCATCTCTTCCCAAAGTAGTATGTTTCTATTAAAATCAAACATTCTATAGAATGCAAAATTTTCACAAGATTTATAAAATTTTTTAACTGATAACAGTATTTAATTTTCAGAATTTCCCAATTTACCGTAGTGGCAGTCAATAGCCTTTGCATATTTTCAATTTTATCATGACTGACAGTGGCTCTTCGTTGATCAGTTGTTTTTCCAATACTTACAATATCTCTTTCTACGAAACCATTATCTAAAAGAGAAGCATCAATGACAGTCATCAACAACAGACATGGAGAGTTCTACGATTTGGTTTTCTTCCCATGATAAGTAATTATTACTGTTGAGATTCTCTTAATTCAGTTACAAAATAACTCATGATTGTCACATTTTTAGTCGAATTTTCATCAGACGTTAACTTGACAATTCGTACTCATAATTTAATACTTTTATCATTTTAATAAAAGAAATACTTTCTTAATTATAAATACCTAACCAATAAAAATTGAACATAGTTTTATTTGCTAATAAAGTTTAAGGTATTGTCCGAAATCCATAAGGATTGCTTACTGTTTTTTTTTTCCTGCATTTTTGAGATGTTTCCCGAGTCAGCTATCAAGCCTCACTCACAGAAATCCAAGTATTCTAGCTGCCATACCTATTTATGCTATTAAGGATTAGTTTATTAAGTGCTTGAAAAGATGCAAGACATCCCATAACTAATATTTAAATTATTTTATAAATGTATATTTAATACAGCAATTTGATGAAGCTACCAAATAATTTACGATTGGCTAGTAGACGTTGGACGGTATTTACTGAACGTTCAAACTGCTTCGCCGCATTTGCATAACTCCCAAATGGGTAGTCGAACGGTCGGCATCCTGAAAGAGCTGTTTGGAAGTTTTGCTTGCAGAGACTTTTTTGGATTCTTTAATTTATGAAATTTTTATTATTGTTAATATTAATAAAACAAATTTTCATTATTTCCATTGTACTTGCATCTTTAAATATTTTGAATGGAATGTTAAAGTTATGATAAAGAAGCACTTCAAACATTTTACTGAACTGAATCCGGAAAACAGCATAGCATTCACAGTAATAGTTTGCAAAATTTTCATACTACATTTTGAATTAACTCTTCTCAATCGATGAATTCGAGAATATTTTATATCTCCAGAATAAAGAAGTGTTGTCTTTCGAATAGTCAATGCTTGTAGATTTTTCTTTTAAATAAACCAGAAAAAATAAGGAGCCCATACTTACAAGAACTCATCATCTTCTACTGGAATTAACAGCAAGAAAGAAGTTTACATGTTATCTTTGTGTAAGTCGGCAAAATTATGCATAATTAGGCAGTGAAAGATTTTAGGCGACATTTAAAAAATTTTTGTTTCCAATGATTTTTAACTTGAAGAAGATAATGAAGGAGGTAAAAATTAACTGATGAAGAAAATTCCTTTTTTTCGTTATATTCCTATGAGTGTTATTGGCTTTTTCTAAACTACTTATCAACGATGAAACAAAGTAGAAAAGAAGAGCTGTAATAATGATAGAGACACTTTTTTGTTTTTCTTAAAGTTCTAATGAAGTGTTAATAATGAATGTGGTAGTTATCTTGATAATATGTTCTCTCGTAAAGTTTTTAACAATGAAGAGAAAAGTAACATCTAAATCTACACAGTGCAACCACCACAAATATTTATAAAGCTTTCTGATTAATTAGAATGAAGTGAAATTGGGAGCAAAGATTAGAACTTCCCAATAAAAGCACTGTTTCGTCAGTTTTGGATTCTCGGCATAACTATGCATGTATCGAGAACTTACCAAGTAAAGCATAATATTTCTGATCTTTCCAACCATCACCCGGTGGTAAAAATTTTTTACCGTCGAATCTTAACGATGATCTGCAATCGCCATCATAAAAGTAGAGACCAAATGCGCCAGGGAGAGCGGACTGAAGAGTTGTAATTAAAATGGCACCTTCCTGGTCCAGTTCAATCTTTATCGGTTCCACGTAAATACGTAACGTGAGACGAACATCTGCATTAAATCTGAGCTTCAGCGTCATGAAAGCAGAGAAAAGAAACATGGAAAGAAATGTAACAGACTTACGATTTATATCAATTGTTTGTAAATGATGAAAGTGAAATTTGTCTCGAAAATTTGATTTGAACTAAGATAGAAAATCATATAGCAATTCTGCAGTTAAACACACTTACCATTTTCTGCTCCATTTTCCATCGCTTAAAGAGACAATTGAAAGAATGATGACAAAATGAAAAATGTTCCCCAAAAAGCTCCGATTGTTTGTTTTAAAGAAAAATGAACGTTGAAGACTATAAATAAAATAAATAATAGTGGAAGGAATAAATGTCACGATATCCATCCAATAAATGTACGTATAAAAGAACTTCTTAAATTAAAAAAAATGATAATCGTATGTTCAAGTTTTAATTTCTTTCATCCACCATTATATATTTGTTATTCAATTTTTTACAATAAGATTATAACATAAAATTAAAAAATGATTTTAAGTTAGAGATTGATATGATATGAAACAGTGAATAAAGTGATGTTAGCTATTCAAAGAGTAAAGCTATTCAAAGAGTAAATGAGAGATTGAAAGAGCTATGCTTTTAATTTTGATAACACGTCGCGATATTGACAACGTTCGCGGTGATGGCGACACTCATTGAATGGAAGGAACGAATGATGGGACAGCCATCCATCAGCAATATGCTTCCCTCTCTCTCTCTCTCTCTCTCTCTCTCTCTCTCATCTTTCATCTGCACTATTTCAAAATTTCATCTTTTGCGTACTCGCTGGTTTGAATTCTGTAAACCGATTCTTTCGTTTATAAAAATACTCCAACAGTATGATAGGCGCACAATTCTTTTAGTAATGCTAGAAGGTTTTACTAGAAATTTTTGGATTCATAAATGTTAAAATCACCGTCGATTAAATGAATTTGACCTATGAGAAATTTTAAAATTTCTCGAAGTCTTAGAAATTTCAGAAACTTTCCAAAAAAAATTATAAATACAAATATGTTAATGAAAAAATGGGATTCATTCCAATTTAATAAAGCAGCCTATAGCCAATAAATTAAGTAATATTACAGGAATATAATGGAAATACTTGTAGACATATGTAATGGCCTGAAGAATTGTAATTAAAAACAGCTCTCGCAGAGTCCTCCTAAATCAAATGTTCCTTCCTTTCTCTCTCTCTCTCTCTCTCTCTTCATATTCCTTAAAACAGCCTGTGAATTGAAAATTATTGGACAGAGAAATTAACAAAGCAATTGGTTTTGACCCTTTCCAGGAAGATTAATGGGATGCAGTAAGATGTGATTCTATGGCTACACAAATAATCATTTGAAATTATTTCAAAAAATCAAAGTTGGAAATATTTTTGTTTCGTTGAATGATCCCGAAAATTTCAGTAATCTCAACCACTTCTAAATGTTCCTCAAATGGTTTTTTTTCTTCAGAATGCTGAACACCTCACTTCATTTAAATAATTTATGTAGATTTAACCAATTTTAAATTAAGTAGAATTTGAGAGCAAATTTTGCATTTGAATTTATAAAGATTTTTTGTGATGTCACAATTGTCATTAAATGTCAACGAGTGAACAGTAATGAATGAATGTGACAATAGAAAAACGGTTGATTTAAATGGGTCAGCAAAATCTGTCGTTTTTTTTCCATAGAAATAAGCTTATCTAAATGACCCAAATTCAAAGTGAATTCGCAATTTGTCTCATAATTTTTTCAATTTTTAGCAGTGATGACAGAACAGATTTCATTCATGTAAATAACAAATGCATATTTTTTGTAAAATTTTTAAGAAAACTGAACAATTTGCATTAAAAATGACAACGATTCAACAAAAAAAAAAATCATTTCATGTATTTTTGAAACAAATTTTCATGAGCAAAAAGGAGCGGAAATGATTCATAGACCGCACACGAGAAGTGCTGATTCTGTTAATAATAATTTATTTATCGTTCACTGCTAATTTTGATACAGTCATCTGTATTACTTTAAAAACTCTTCGAACTTTTCAAATCATTTTTGTCACAATATTCGATACAAAATTAATCCATCGTTTATAACAAAGCCTTAGTCATTATTTGTTTTAAACATAATAACTTAAAGCATTTAAAAGAAAAATAAAAGTAAAAGAGTATATTCTGAGAGTTTATGTCAGATGTCAATTAGAAAATTTTTTGTTGAAAGCAGATAAACTCTACAACTATCATATATTTCAAATATGATGTTATAATATCAATTTAAGTATATTATCAGTTAAAGCCATGACAATGCCCGGCCAATAAGATGGCCTAGAAATGTAATTAGCCAAGAATATACCAAAATGAGTCATTCAAAAAAAGAAAGAATTTCCCTGTAACAAGTTAACAAGAGAACTTGAGTGATGACAAAAGTGTGAATATAAGAAGAGATTACATCAGGTCAATTCAGTAGCCCGGTGGTGTACGTGGCTCGGGACAGTGTTCGCATGAACCGCTTTCTCCTCGTTCTCCTGGTAATCCTGGTTGTCCTTCCAGACCTCTCTCTCCGCGTGGTCCCGGTACACCTTCATTTCCTGGTGGTCCTTGAGGACCATCTTCAGTGGCTCCATCCGGTCCTGGGAGTCCTTTTGGACCAAGTGGTCCCGGTGGTCCTGAAAAAATTGTTGGTATAAACAAGAAAAATTAATAATATTAAAATCGAGCATATTCGTGTTAAAATTATTAATAAAAAAATCACCAGGTAGTCCTATGGGTCCAGGAGGTCCATCAATTGGAATGAGATGTCCGGGTTCACCAGGAGGTCCAGGCAATCCTTCCTTTCCTGGTAGTCCAACTGGTCCTGCAGCACCAGTTATGCCAGGTTCTCCGTTTTTCCCATCTTCACCTCTTGCACCTTCAGCACCCTTCGGTCCTTGTGGTCCTTTTGGACCAGCTTGACCTGCTGGACCGGGTGGTCCAGGTGGACAAATAATACATGGCTCTTCGATTCCAACTGCTGCTTTTAGAACCTTAAAAAATATCATTTCTAAAGGATTATTTTTAGCTAAACTTTCAAAGCAGGTAATTTCGTAATAATGAAGATAATCCGATTCATTGAAGATAATTCGATTCACCTGTCCATCTTTTCCTTTATCACCATTCTTGCCTGGCTCACCATCATTTCCATCAGGACCAGGATCACCAGGTGGTCCTGGTGGTCCTACAGGGCCCTGCTGACATGGACAACAGAAACTTCCAACGTTTGGTTCTGCATTGATTATTGGACCTGGACCGTAACCTGATGATATCTTTGGCTTACTGTAATCACTATTATCGCTACTGTATTGATTACCATCACTTCCATAAGTATTGCCACTGTTAGAACCTCCATAAAGATCTCCATCATTAGATTCATCTCCTCCTCGGCCAGCATAAGGTGTAGGAATTTCATTACCATAGCTGGCACTTCCCAAATCGTAATTTTTAGTACCAGATGCACGTGGTATAAATTGACCGAACAGCCAAGTACCTGCTTCTCGTTTGACCCGATAACTCTTATCAATTAAGTTCATTTCTTGCCACATATCCCGAGACCGGGACTGAAATTCATTTTGCTAAACATGGAATGAAATCCTTGCGCAAAACAAAATAACATTTCTCTCTAAGATATAAAAAGTGACTACTCAAATTAATTTTTGATAATTATAAACATCAGATGTTTAACCGCAACACTATACCTGTGCAAATTTGTCAAATACGAAACTTCGTATTCAGAAAAAAAGTGACACCTAAATTTGGAATTGTGTAGGAAAAAATTTCGACATTGTAATCCCGACTGCTAATTTTCATAGAGGAAATTTTTACCGTCTTCAATATAAATTGTTAAAATATCAAAATCTAACCTTACAGAAATCAGCTTCAGCAATAAGATGAGATTGAAAGGACTGAACAAAGCTGTATAACATTGGAAGGGTAATAATGGAAGCAATTACTGCGACGGTCGAAATAACAATTGAAAAAAATGCAACACGACGTATTTGCATCTGCTCATCGTTCAAATTACTTTCGATACCGTTGAACTTCATTTCTCACAGCATCAATGCGGAATAATCAAACCATAAATTGAAAAGTAAATGAAGATTCAGAAAGCTATCTTTCGCTTCCACGAATGAATTTTATTTGATACAAAAGGAGAGATATTGTAAATGGTATATGCTTCAATCAATCACTTTAATCGTATTACTACTTGATATCTTCATTTAGCTATTTCCGTAAAATTTTATCAAAATGAGTAAATGACGGCATTGCTATTGCCGTCATTTACTTGCTAGTAAGAAATTCAATCTTTCAATTAATGCATAAAATCGCTGATTTCGGCAGAAAGTATTTTAATTAATAAGCTTATCAAATTATAGTTTTCGGGGAATTTTGTAGAATAATTTATTTGCTCAATGAGAATATTACAATCATAAAATTCTGTCAGGATGGATAAAAATTAATTAGGTTTAGTATAAATTCCAAAAAAAAGTCAAATAAATTGTTGTTCATTCATTTGGGGCGTTATCATCTACGCCGCAAGCACTGGTTGACCCAATTACCTATATTTTTTTATAACTGAAAATAATAAGTTATACGATGGCATTCTTTGTTAATAAATATCAAATCAAAATAGGATCTCATTTATTCGTCAAGTAATTAAAATAAAAAAAATTAGCTTTCTCAAATATTCTTGTATTCTTTAGTCTTTATGTGTTCTTCAGTTTTTTAAAAAAATTTTGAAGAAATTTTTTCGGCAATTTGAAAATTTCTAATCAAAATCTTTAAATCATCTTTTCATGAATTTTTGACAAAAAATAAATTCACATAACATAAGTAAGTAATGAAAAATGATCTAAAACAAAAAAGCAGAAATTAAGGAATGATTGAAATCTGTAAAAAATAATTGAAATTATTAATATTCTTCAAAACAATCACAATTAAATTATTTTTGCGATTACTGCTTCAATAGAAACCAATTTTTTAAATTCAGTTACATCTTTAAAAAAGAATCAAAAAGAATGTTATATGTGTTAGTCGAAAAAGGAATTGTTTAGAAACGAAAATTGTATCAAGAATTTTATAAAATAATTAAAGTGCTCATTCGAATGCGAACTATGAACTGACAATGAATGGAAAGATGGGAAATCTACAGAAAATTTATAACCAACCCTTTGGCAGAGGAATATATCCATCTTCAAAAATTTCAATTGTTGAATTGAAGTGACGTCTTTTGAATGACTATGTTTGCTCCAAATCCATACCGACCCGCGGGCACTTCTTTTAATATCAATTGTTTTAAATGCTACTTCTATCCATCAAACTACAACTTTTTAAGTCCCATCGTGATAACTGTTTTATCAAAAGCAATTGTGTACATTTTATACACATTCCTACCGATTTTTGTATTTAACATATCAGTTGAACCATAGAATTACTACCAATGCTGGAGAACAATTAAGACGAAAAAAATGGCATTTACAGAATTTGAAGATATATAAGTGCCCATTAATGTTAACTGGACGCTTCATTACAGCCACTCTATTAATTCTAAATTTGAGATTGCAAGAAATTCAGATATTAAGGAAAATTAAAAATTTAAATAAACATGAAAAATACAGAAAATTACAAAGAGAAATAGAGTAGCCTGAAAATTCGAAGTTAACTATAATTACTGGGAAAATGTTAATAGATATTATTTTATTTTATGTTTAATGATTTTCAATTTTTGTTTGGGAAAATTCAAGTTTTAGTTTTAATCACAATATTGATATATTAAATATTATGATAAAGATAGAACAAGCTTCTAGCAGCAATATATTGAATTTAAAAATTAATAAATACTAATTAATAACAAATGTTTTTCCGCTAATTTTAAAATCCATATCGTTATTATACATTTCATTAATGATTTGAGAACGACCGTTATTTCAAAAAATTTCTCTTGTGGTAATTTTTTGAGAGGTCATATAATATATTAAAAGAGCTGAGCAAAATTATAATATACATTCATCCATACGGTGCCAATATTTTTACTGATTAATGTAAAACAAATTTTGCATTAAATTCGAAAAAAAGATTATTTAAATGCAGGATGGCGAAAAATGATTAGTGGATTGAAATATGTCGTAATTCACAATAATCATTGTATAAAATCGCAAAATCTTTTTTGATGAGTAGGCAATCATTTCTTCACTACTTCTGTACTCATTTTTCTTCAACTGGATTTTTTCTTGAACTTATTGTATCGATGAAAGGAAAAAATCAAATTAGGATTTTAAAAAACTGCACTAAGTGTAAATCGTTGAAATAAAAGTTCATCGGATTTGATTAAAATCACAAAAGCGATTTGGATTGTGGTTTTGAATGAACCTTTTTCTGCTTAGAATATATGAATAGTTTAATTACTTAGTTGTATTTCTAGTAAAAGTCCTCATAAATTTTCTTTTAGACTCCATGAACATCGAATATTTCATCTTACTTCAAAAATTTGAAAATCAATTTAAACTAGGCGTTGTCGGTCGCAGTTTATAAAAAGTTTGACCTTATTACTTCATAGCTTTACCGTTATTACTTCAGAAAAGTAAGCTAAATACTTTTAAATTAATTTCAAGGACTAGGTTATCAAACAATTTCTGAAATTATTTAATAAATTATCGATTCATTTTAGAGAATACTTACCAGTTGATGCTTTTTTACTACTAATATAAGAGAACATTGTAACATGCGAGGATATAATTTGGTGATAACGCAAATAATCATCCTGCTGGCTGTTACTGATAGGTTACTGAGCGGGAATACACTACTTAAACGAGTATCCGGTACCGTACGAGCTGGATCCGTTGCAAAAAGTGGTAAGTGAAATATGATTGATATATTTTCTCCTCGTCATTTTTGAAAAAAAAAACAAAGAAGACAATTCTCAATATTTGCTTACTTGTTTGTATTTCACAATTCTATGAAAACACTTTTCAAACATTTGTATTTCACTATTTTTGCATTTTTTACTTATTTTCAGATATATGTGCAAGTCAAGGCGATCATTACATCACTTTGAAAAGTTCTTTTTATTTTTTCCAAATGATCTGTAATTATTTTAAACGATTAGAAAAAACCTTTAGATTATATGCCATCAATTAATTATCAGTAAATTTAAACTGAGGAACTGTAAATCCTGCTAAAATTCATTCTTCTGTTTTAAGCATTATAAAAATTGCATCGTTGGATAGTTTGTGAAATTAATGCTCCAGCAAGTAAAGCACTACTTTAAAGAATATACAGATTAAGGAATGCTTTCGGAGTCATTCACAGTAGCACTGTAAACATGATAGAATATATGATAATGAAAATAATGCGAAAAATTTACAGGCTGTCGACAGTCGATTACTGTCTTGAAAACGGACTATTTGCACGAATCAGTTTCACAAATTTTGGAAAAAGCAATTAGCACGCAATGCCCAAAAGAATGTGCTCTGCTATGTTTCCAGGCTAAATGCAAAGTTAGTATTTTAAATATATAGCAGAATTTTTGAATTAAGAATTCTTTTCAATATTAATTTTCTCAAATGTTAGAATTTCAGAGAATTCAAAATAACGAAAGATAACATAAATGAAGTTTTCAATCAAAATTATCAAGTCTGTTTTTCATAATTTGCGGGATGACAGCGATGATTCAAAGAGGAGGAATGTAGAAAATAGAAAAAAAGAAACGTCGAATGAAAAGATTAAAATTTAGATTGCACATTTCGACAGCAGCAAAAAAATATGCCATTTCAAGCAAAATACTGTCCCTCAGCTGACAGTTTGCAACCGAATTTGGCTGATTGAGCAGCTTGGAAATAATGCGTCTGAACCAATGGTCGGTTTCCATAGCTTTTGTGTCTTCTGTGCCTATAAAAAGAGTCGTTTTTCCACAATTTCAAAGTGAAAATCATTACCGCTGAGGCCATTACGATGAAAAGCTGAAACAATGAATAGCTTCAAAAATGAGTAACAAAGTAATCAATTGAACCGTGACTTTCAATAATATTTTACACTGAAGGGTTGTATTCTTAATTGCTGAAGGAAAGGTAAGCATATTTTCAAAAACTATCATCGATTTGTTATTCACTTGCAATAGAAAAAGCTATATATCAACTGCACACTTTTTCACTGCAAAAAAGAAAAGTCGCATCCCTTCGAACAGGTGGCCAGAAAATGGAATTAAGATATTTCAAATCATTTTATTCCGACCTAAACAAGAAAACAACAAAAATACAACAACACACAATATCAAGCATAACATTAATTTGCTAATCAGCTGCAATCACAATTTCCAGGACATAAACATTGTCTCAAACCCGAAATTATCAAAACTACGAAAAAAAATCCATGTGTTCACCGAAATTTTTTACAGTAGTTCCCACTGAAGGACTAATGCAACGTTAGGAATTTCCATCAATTTTTTAATGAAAAACTAAAGTACCTCAGTTAACCTGAAGTACTTTACAGTGCAGTATAGGCGCAGTTACCTATCATGAAAACATAATCATCATTTCGATATTGCGTTCAAAAAACTGCTAGTAAAAGGTGTTAAAACGATCTCAGATGAAAATATAAGGATTTAACATCAATTTATCATATTTGAATTCTTTGCATTGTATATACGAAAATTTTACGTAAATATGAGCGCAATATGTTCTCTCTCCTAGGGAAAGGAATAATACGCACGCGCATTATAACTTCCTATTGGTTTGAAAACAAATTATCACGCTCATACACATCATTCTCGGAAATAATAAATATAAAGATTACTTATAATTTATTATCACTCCGTTTAATAAGCGCTTCAATTGCACGAGCTCTCAACTCCAATTCCAGCATGTGGAGCCTCTTTTCTTCTCGCATTTTATTAGTTGTATCGGTTGAACTTCCAGAACTGCATTGATTTCTCGTTAAACAAAAGTCACTGGTATTTTTACATAATTAAAAGAAAAAAATTTTAAAAATTTTAAATAATACTCGAATATATCAAATCTTCATCAGACTTACTATCCCGAATTTTTTGGCACTGATGCTGGCGATGAATCAGCTTGTACATTGACGGTAAAAAGATCCCTATGGATGGTAAAATGTTGACTACAATTCTGATCCTTGAAAAAGAACATTATTCTTTAATCTTCACTAGAAACTTTTTACTTCCATATGGAATGTAAGGTACACAAGTAATATAATTTCTTCATATAAATAAATGGATTTTTCTCTATGATTTAGTATATTTTTCAGCCACAGAAATACAGTCATCTATGTTTAAATAGAAATATAATCATCTTTTGTTGCTGGAAATTAAAATACTACAAAAAATAATCAGCAAAAAAATGTTATGTTCCTACGATGTATTTATGTAGTTTATTGATAGCACTGATTACTGCATAATGAAGACAATATGGTTTAATGTGTATTTTCGCTGTACTTCCGCTGCGCATCTAACAACGCACTAAAAAATTCTTTCTTATAACTAGAGTAAGAATAGGGAACTCAACCTTTATTTTTTGCTCTCGTTGTAAAACTATAGAAATTCACTCCGTAGGGAATAAACTTTGGCAAATAAAATAAACAATATTAGTCATCAATTCAAGCATAATAACTTGATTACTTGGAAATCTACTTCAAAAGGCGGATGGGAATGTGTTGTACACACTATTGAAACTCGACTTAATTGAACGATTTGGTCGCCAATGAAAACATGACAGTTTATTAACTGTGCAATTTATTGCTGTTGGAAGCTCTTGACACTCGTATGGGTGAAGTAAAGATGTCGCACACAAGTAACACAACCTCACTACAATTTAGCACCTATATTAGCAAACAATCGCTCGAACACAATTGTTCGCCCTTGAAAGTGCCTCAGGATCAAACCCATAACATCGGACTGCCACAGTGTTAACCACTACACCATGCAATAACCAGATGTCACATAGGTGTACTTGTGTAAAGTGGCTAAAATCACGGATAAAAGAGACCTTATTTAGAGTAGCATCCTTGCTCGAATTTGAACTTTTTTCTTCATCACTCACAACCTCACCATCTTCCAATTCGTCATCATTCTCTGGTGTTATAATTGCAGTTACCTTAAAATTGCTACTAAAACACAGTGGCAAATTACACTTCCTTGGTAAGCTCCCTCTTAAAAGAACAACGTAATTCTCAGTGTTATTCAGCAGTAGAGAACTGAGAAGGAAAAAAGTAGTCATTACTTCATAACTATCAAATACCTGGCTATTAGAATTTAATGCACCTTCATTGGCAAATATTTCAGTATACTGATTTGATAAAAGTGAAATTCTATGTTCTATAGGAAAGTCAGATTGTACAACATTTTCACTTTCTTGATTCGTCTTGGTTGAAGAAATATTTTCAACTGCAACAGAGTCGACTTCAAAAGCGTTTGTGATATTGTTGCAGGAAACGGCATCACTTATATCTACTGCGTGAAAAATACTAAAATAGAAGCGTATATTCAATTAAGCATATATTCAATTAAGCTCAACTTTTTTCAGAAATTAATGGGAAAGATTAAAATTAAATATTAATTCTTTTGTTAAAGATCTTTCGTTAAATTTTTTTTTTCTCTTTTATCTGATCAAAATAGGATTCGCAACGATCAACTAATGTTTGTGTTTCATAACTCATTTAATATTGATGTTGTATTTTTCATCACTAATTCGAAGTAAATCAAATAAAAGTTAACATCCAAAATTATAAAAATATACTTAGACAAATTTGGTGCAGTTTCTGTTGTGGAATCGGCAACGGCAATCTCGGCTTTCGATTCTTAAAACACCAAAATCAAGACAGGAAGCAAATTACAGATGATCAAAGTAATAGTATGAGAGCAAGATGAACATACTTTTAACACTACTATTGATTATAACTGTTTCATTCCTCTCTTCTTCAGATTCACTACTTTCAGCAAAATCCTTTCCTAAAAATAATACTGAAATAAAAAACGTAATGAGTATTAATGACTTCCTTTTTTTACATAATTAAATTAGAAGATTGCAACTATGTGTAAGGAAATAAAATGAAAAATATTTACGAAAACAGACTTTCCATTTACAAGTCAAGTAGTAACTATTACAATAATAAATCTACCACCTTTCTGAAAACCTATAAAAAAATTAATAGTCGAGCTAACCTTTCAATATAGTGCATATATTCTTTTTAGACATTCCATTCAACT